ATATAGAAATATGTTTTTGAGCTTTTGTAGTTTTGGGCTTTTATTAGATCCTTGACATACAAGTTTGGTTAATTACAATTTTTCAATTGACGCAATCTCTTTTCTATTCTCACGAAATTTTTATAAATTGTTATAACACATGACATAATTATGTGTCAATATCATGCATTCATTTTTTTTTTCACTTTAGCATCAACATTATTAAGCACATAAATATGTGCAATACAATCTATAAAACTTTTGTGTTCTTTTTTTTTGGTGAAGAAAACTTTTGTATTCTTTATAACAGAAAGGTGTTGATTTCCCAACATAAATGTATATTGAAGAATGTCCATGAATGAGTATTAGTAGATAATTTTACTTAGGAATAAAATCTCTTATTTTGAAAATTGGATTCATATACACGCTACATCTAGGTATCCTCTGTCTAATCAATTATTAAGTAATTGTTATATACTAGATATTAACCCGCGGTACACCGCGGGTCTATATTTTATGTTAAGTATTTATTTGTAATTATTATTTTAAGTTTTTTTCTGAACATGTATGATTTTTTTATTTATTTAAATGTATATATATATATATATATATATAGATTTGTATATATCTATAAATTGTAGGATTAGTCAATTTTAATTTCATTTTTGAAAATATAGATATATAACAAATTTAAGAGTTCAGTACTCACTTATGGATAATTTTATTAAAATTAGATTTATAATACTGTTGACATAATATATGAATTTAGATTTTATCTGTAAATATTGATTCAGTAAATTAAAATTAACAATTATAGTATTATATATATGTATTTTGTGCAAATCAAATTTAAGAGGTGAATGTGTGTATCTGTTTAAATATTCTAAACTAAATAGATATAGTTTGATTATGTTAAAAAGTTTGTTGAATCACAGAACATAACAGTGAGAATAGAGTATACACATTTACTTATATATAGACATAGGAATGCGTGTGTTACATGTATAAACATGAAAGAACATCTTCAAGGTGAAGATTAAGCAGTGATTAGGTTCCTTGCAACTTCCTGAGAATCGAACATCCCGCAGAAATCCAGACTCCTGTTCAAATTATATCATCAATGGTGTCTGATATCTATTATGGCCTGTTCTTTTTTGAACTATTGGAGCTTTGAATAGATTAGAGTAGGATTTCTTTTTAGTTTACATGTTAATATATGTCCTGCATGAGCTCTGATTTCCATATTCGATGCGGATTGCTTCACCGAGTTCTTCTTTACTTGATTTCTGTAAAGAAAAGGAAGATTTTGGAGTAAAAAAGGACATTCCAATGGATTTTTAGTACAAAGAACTGAATTACCTTTGGGTCTAGAGGGGAAGTTTTAGATTCATACACTTGGCAATTTATCTTTCTGCTGTGATTTTCTTTGACTATCCTAGTTTTTGAGGAATCGATGGGCTTTAGTCTGCAGAAAATGTGTGTGAGAACGTTTTAGGAAAGTAGATTCAATGAAAGTTTCAGAGCAATTGTACTAACGTTCTGGACTTAGTAGCATCATTCTCTTGTATGGCATCGGTTTTAGCCTGCAATGTGAGGCATCATTTAACTAAATGTAAACATGGAGGCGAAGAATCGATAAAGAGAACAAAGAGATTTGAGACTTACATTTGAAGAGCGTTCCTTTGCTCTCAGTGATATTCTGAATCGAAATGCCTGATGCAGAAAATTCTGTTAATTGATGAGGAACGATAATAACACTTTGAGTTTGTAGCTATTGGAAGATATATTATACCTGAAAATCTTGGGACCGTGGCGTATTAGTTTTAGGCAAAGATGTTGAAACAGGAGGTTCCATTTTAATCTGCCAGATTCAAAAGATATATTAACGATTAATAGAAGTAATTAGTTTAGATGGCATAAATATTTGAAAATCATCCGGAGAAATGAGGAATAAAACCAATTAATGTGAGAATAAGTTAAGGAAACAGAAAATATGTGTAATTAAAGAGATAATTTCGCTATTTTATTACAAATTTCCTTAATTGTCTTATCCAGGATCCGAACAGAATTAATCCGGGTAAAACCCGGATCCAAATGAATTAATGCAAAAAAACCCTGTAAAAATGTATATGTAGATTTGATTCAATTAACCGTGGATATGTTTCCTCAAGATGTTAATAAGACAATGATAACTATTTGATACATATATCGTTACAAATATGCATGGTACTAGGATATGACCCGCGTTACACCGCGGGCTAATTATTTGATTTTTTTTAATCTTTTTATAAACTGATGCATTTGTTGTATATAATATTTTTTGTTGTACACCGCGGATCACATGCGTTGTAACTAAAAAATATAAATTTTAAGTTGTATATATTTTGTTTAGTGTTTAAAATTGTATGATTATATTTTGATTTGTTAATCCTAGGATTTCACCCGTGATATATTGTCTCGTATTAATATCAATCCAAACCCGTCCCACCATATAATCTCGTCCCGTAAAATTAAACATCATTTTGTTATTTCTTTTAATAACACTTTTATTTGAAAGACAAATAATTTGAGTCAATTTAAAAGTTTGCTTTCAAATGGTTTCCATAATAAATATATTTTTAAATTAGTGTGTGTTTTTGGACCAACCCGTAAAAATAATTTATAATTAAAATACTAAATAACTGTATTTCGATTTGTTAATTTTAGGATTTTACCCGTGGTATATTGTCCCGTTTTGGATAATTGTAGAAATTAAGGAAATATCCGAATGACTCGATTCCGGATCAGAGTAAAAAAATTACGACATGATTAAACGCGCAAATTTGTTCTTCAAAAATGTACTTTAGATTGTACACATAATTTTTTCTTCATCGATTGAGTAATATATGTCCGTTTTGAAAAATTTGAATCATACCATATACAGAAAAAAATCTAAAATTTTATTAACTATGTATATTTTATAATAATTCAAAATAATAGAAATATAAGATCACATAAAAGTGAAATGAGAATCATATATTTATGTTTAAATTAGGTAGAGAGGGTTTAGAAAATTAGCTCAAATTTGTTATATTAGCATTAAATCATCATATTTGATTTCCTTATCTATAAAAATCATAAAGAATATGACATAAATAAATAGTTTAGGTATAGTAATTAGTTGAGAAAATATATATTTTTAGATTTTATTGATTAATTTCGTTTTTTAATTTTGTCAAAAATAAGGAAAGATCCGATTGAAGATTTCCGGGTCAAAATTAAACAAAATTTGACCCGATTAAGATCCCTTAAAAGTGTTGCAAAAATGTATAGTAGATATAATAATATACTTTAATATAGTTAGCTACAGAGACAGAGAAACAAAGTTTCCTTGTTTGACCAAAAAAAAAAAAAACTATAGAGCAGAGGTCCAGAGGAGGTTAATTACGATTTTTCATTTACACAGTTCATGCATGATTTCTACTATATATATATATATCATATACATCGTTTCATGTCTATCCATAGAATTTGAAATGTTTCAGTAATCGCTTTAATTCATTTTACAATAAAATTGGCGAAATTTCGAGTAACTTCATTTTGTTTCCTCTGATCATGTCTCCTCCTCTTGTTCTTGAGTTCAGTTTCTTGGTAGCTAGTCAAGATAAAAAAAAGTAGAATATTAATTATTTATATAGTAATCATGAATATATTTTGTTTCTCCATATTATACGATCTCTACATGATGATGATAATCCATGAAAAGGTGTATGTTGTCTTAGCCAGACTACATACGAATGTCGAATCGAATCACATGAGTATTAATTATTCAACAAGTTACGTAATACGTACGGGAGAAAGGTGTAATTAGTTATGATCAGTTAGCTCATTGTCTGGTATATTTTTTAAGTGGACTAGTTCATTCTCTAGTCATGATTAGTTATTATTCAATTTAAATATTGCTACGAAGATTCTAACGAGTGATAAGTTGTAATCAATTTAAATATATAAACTCTTCGATTATAGGTCGTTTGGTGAGAAGTTACAAGCGTAGTTTCAACTACACTTGGAATATGCATTGGAACGGCAAGAGGCAGCGTTCCAGCGTTTAGAATCGCAGCTTACAAAGCCTGCTCCGAGAGAGAGTGAGAGAGAGAGTGTAAGCACTACATAGCTGTTGATGAGCAAATAAGCAATGGATTCACTTCTCGCGGTCCAAACACTATCGCGGTTGATGATTTTACGGTACAACATTTTTGTGATGTTACCTAGTTCCCTTTTGTTTCCCGGTTTGAGAGACAATGGTTGATTGAATTGCAGCCGGATATATTACATTTGGTTTCCCAATCTTCACAAAAGTGGGACAAATGACGTGTGAACTACTCTGTTACCTCAGGAACTTCAATGGCTTGTCCACACGTTGCAGGCGTGGCTGCTTACCCCAAGACATTTCATCCTGAATGGTATCAACCGGTAAACAAAAGTCATATCATCCATCTTTTACTTTCTTGTCCCGCAAGTAACATTTATGCTAATAACTCTGCTCTTATTCAGTCTTTTAACTACACTTTGCAGCTTGGCTGATGAATGCTACTGAGACTGGGTTTGCATCGACCGAATTTTCTTATAGAGCTGGACATGTCGACCCAATAGCAGCTTTAAATTCAGGACCTGTCTATGGATTGTGCAAATCAGACTACATGGCGTTTCTCTGTGGCTTGAATTACAATGCATCTACCTTGAAGCTCATCTATCACTTGCACTGACAAGACCGTACCTACAAACTTTCAACTATCCTTCAATGTCAGCTAAATTGTCATTAACACATAACATGTATGTTTTTGTAATAAATCTAATAATAACACATAACAAATATGGCATTAACCATTACATAAATGTGCATGAGAGCTCTCATCACCTTACAGGCTATATCATAGATCAAAATGGTTATGTTATGCATATTTGACTACTGTTTTGTTCTGGTATAGTTGGTTACATTTTACTCATTTCACCTGAGGACTCTTTCTCTGTTACACATACTTTGCCTTTGCACAACTTTATTAAACACATGAACTTTTTACATTTTTGAACCAGCAAACTTCTTTTTCACAGTATATATATACTTCTATATTACATGAATAAATTTACAGTAATTAAAGTACTGGAGAAGCTAGCGCCTTGAGCTTGGTGGCTTACGTGAAATCGCATAAGGCGACTGAAACCCAACTGTTTCTACGTCTCCAACAGTTTTGAACAATCTTTTTTTTCTAGCCTCTTCCCCTGGCGACCGGTGCAGTAACTTTCTCTGCACGTCTACAAGTGATCGGTTCCTTGTAAGTGTGCGGTTGTCTGAAGCCAAGCTTCTGTTAATTGAACTGGAAGCTGCATACGCGTTGGCTTGTCCTGACTGTAGATGAGAGCTTTCTTCGGGACAAAACCTCGTCAAGTTGTGAGTTCTGGTCATAGCAGGAGATTGGGAGCTGTGCTCATCAACAGCTATGTAGTTGAGGTTGGAGTAAGACCCTGAATGGGAAGAACTCTGAGAATACGTCTCATCGTGTAAATCATCTGCAGTTTTAATTTTTATCTCAAAAACTTTTATATAAACATCTGTCACACTATGTACGTTGAGACTGGTGTTACTTTCCATACCTTGTACCCAATCTTGAAGGCCTCGTGCCATATAGTTAGAGAGTGAAGCTTGGGAAGATGACGAGTGCGAGGAAGAAGAGTGGAAAGGATCGGTACGATGACGATGATGATCATGAGGGGTTTCATCATCTTCCTCATACTTCCAACCAGGCACCAAAGAAGAAATCGCTCCATCAATCATTTTAGCAATTTCGACTGGCTCCCAATCGATAATCTCAAGTTCTTTTACCATCTCCTTTGCAACATCAATGGAAGTATCATTCATGATGTCAAAGGGAAAGAACACATTATTTGCCAGACCTGGAAAGAAAGAAACAATTATGCGACCAAATAACAAAATGACCAGCTTCATCAAATTAATCCCTTTTACCATTATCATATGCGATTTGTACTTCCAGATCGATTTTGTTATCTTCAGCGCCCAGCTTGCCAGCGATGGACATCTGTGTCTTTAACTCATCATCTTCCAACTTCAGTGTGTCCATTTCATTCTCGTTCAAGAAGGGCTTTGGATTCCCAGCACCACTCGCGTACACCATCCAGGACTCATCAGAGGCAAGAAATGGATCTTGCAATAGTTCTTTTGCTGATACTCTCTTTGAGGCAGACACGAGACATTTTCCGATGAACCTCTGTGCCTCGATGTCTCCAACTCTGTAAAAGGCTCCTGGTAGCTTTCCCTGGAATAAAAAACATTAGAAGGCTCATGCCTGGTTCAACCGATAGCTACATCGATATGCTCACAGATCAAAAGACATACCGCGACAACTTTCTTGTAAATTTGCGCTGGATTGTTGCACTCACTATACGGGAACTCAGAAGTGATCATCTCCAGAAAGCACATACCAAATGAATAAACGTCAATGAGCTCATTATAGTTCTCCTCATATAATTCTGGAGCCATGAACTCCGGAGTGCCTACGCAAAAGAAGCACAAAGAGGTCTAAGCATATACTTTGGAGAAGAAGTGAGAACAAACGATTTTTGCAACATACCAATGACACTATGTGCAGAATGGCAGTCGCGCAGCATTCTTGCAAGACCAAGATCACCAATTTTGACTTGTCCAAGATGCCCATTAACAAATATATTATCACACTTAAGGTCTCTATGGATAACAGGAGGGTCGTGCCCGTGGAGATAAACAAGACCCTCCAAGATTTGCCGAGCCCAGGACTTGATTGCTCGGATATCTATCCGCAAGTACTTATTTTTGTATCTGCATATGAACGGGACAGGGTCATAAAAAAAAAAGCTGAATAATCTTGTCAGAAGAAGAGGTTTAAGCGAATTACTGTCGGAGGGTCCCAGAAGTGAACAACTCGGTGATGAAGTTGAGAGTATGGTTATGAACATCAATCCAGGAAGTGTAGAAACGAATGATGGATTTGTGGTTAAGAGTGCTGAGGAGATGAACCTCGGAGTAAAGCCTCTGTAGATCAACAGATGAACGCAGAACCTCTTTAAGCTTCACCTGGCTCCATGCTACTTCTATTCCCAGCTTCTCATCGATTGCTTTGTACACTGTCTTCATCGCTCCCCTTCCAAGAATTTCTGCAAACTGTTCCACCATAAAACCAAGTGTTACAAAAAGGTTTTGATCCATGAACATAGAGTTTGTCTCCTTACTTACACGTCCATAGCGAGCAGTTGGATCAGTTTCGACATACTCTGCAACTTGATTCATATTCATGGTTGACCAAAAACCGATTGATGATCCCAGAAATGTTTAAGAGGACACAGACTTTCGTTCTTAAAACAGAGATACTTCTGGTGGCCAAAAGTCGTCCTATTTACTTCTTCTTGCTACTTCATTAAAGAAGCGTCAGCAGAAAATATGTTGAACAGTCGTTGGCGTCAATCACCCATTTGGGATAAAATGAATAAAGACAATTGCCTTAACCTTGCTTGCATCACATATATTATAGAAAACCATATATTTATTTTTATTGAGCCAATTGTAATTCAAAAAATCCAAAGTTTGACAGAACTTACTTGCCAATAAAAGATACTGAAGCCACAGCATTGAAAAAAATCATCAAACGTGTACCACATTGAAAACACATGGCTAAATATGCTCAAAAGATAAAAAAAGATGCCCTGGTTTATTTTGTGAACCACAAACACAATTGCAAAGAGGATAAGAGTTAAGAAAGTGTGGATACTAGGAAATGCGATATAGAGGAAAGAGTTTTGTTTCTTGAGGAAACTGCACATTTTTCAATTGAACCAATTATTAGTTTGGTGAACACAAGCAATCCAAAATAGATTGAGGTTAACAAAAATAAAACGACAAAGAAAAGGGGAAAAGTCAGAACAGAAGTGGGGAACATGACAAGAAGTTGTAGAGTGATAGTGACATCACCGTTGAACAATTGTTTTTTTTTTGTTGGCGGCCAGTTCCTGCAGCCCTCAAGGAGTTCACGGTTCTGTAATAAACTAATAACACATAACAAATATGCATTAACCAATTAAGTATGTGCATGAGAGCTCTCATCATCTTAGCTTTTTATCTAAGGAGGGTCTAAAATGTTAACAGGCAATATCTAAGGAGGGTCTCAATGTTAACAGGCTATATCATAGATCAAAATGATTATATGCATATTTTGACTAGTGTTTTGTTCTGGTTTAGATGTTAGTTGACACGTGGAAAAGGAGAGAGAGAAGAATGGTAGGAATTGAAGATAAGGATGGAATATATCCGAAACAAGAAAAGCCGTATAAGTTTGACACTGACTGACAACAGAGGTCGCAGCCAGAATTTTTCCCACAAGCATATCATTATATTCTGCATATTTCTGCTCATTCATGATTATCATTCACTACACAACATGTGAAATGGCCCTATCTATCTCCCACCATGTTCTCCACAGTTGATATGTCACAAAAGTATATATCTCTACAGCATTTTAAAAGCCTATAACACAAGATTCACAAAAGATGTTACCTCTACCCACCGACTAAGTTCCTCCATTTATCCTTCAAATCCACCTATCAAGTTACAACATTGATATCACTCACACTTCGCATATATCTTGTCCTAGTAAATGGTGAGTATGAATTTTGAAAGGAAATGCTCACCTCTGTCCTCTCCGCGAATAGTGCAGGGTTTCCATTCTTTATATCTTTCCATGATTTACCATACCTGCACAACAACAACAAAATGACAGTGCTATAATCTTAATGAGGCCCTAGATGTATCACTAGTGAATATTGATAATAGAGTAAGGGGCTAGGCAAAGAGTGTTTGCATACTCTTTTACTCCTTCCCTCAGAGCTTCCACTTCTTCTGGCGTCCAGAATTTCTTTGGCCTCCTGACATGGGGTTTCGCCAATCCTCCCTTCTTCAACGGAGATACATTCAGAGGAACTGGGGTTGGTAGACGAGGCCGAATTCTGCTAGACCATGTTCCCTTACTATCCGAACCTTTCTCATTTACATTATCCTGTTGCTTCACAATTAAACCAAAAATTCATGACCTAAAGAACACGACTTTTAGAAAGCATCTTAAGGTAAAATTCTCTAACACTTACGGTTGCTTCATTATGGTCTTGACCGCCTGTTCCAGTCCTATTCACCCGAGTAGGCTGAGGAGTGACATCATCTACTGAATGATTAATTGCAGTGTTAGGTTCTTCCCCTCGCCTAATGGAAGGGTCGATGTGTCTTTGAATCTCTAACAAATAATCCTTCAGCTCTCGAGCAACCGTTTTGTCTCCCTTATCAAGACTTGGCTCATGTTCCTGTTCTTGTGCACCCATTGTGTGCTCCTCGTCTGCTACATTCCCATTATCAATCCCATCATTCTCTGGACATTCCATTCCTTCACCATCATTAGCGTTCTCTCTATTATTCCCATTCCTGTCCTCCCCTCCACGCTGCTCGTTGATAACATCAACGATGTCACTCTCCAAACCCCTCGTGCTTTCATCAACAGCACTTTGATCCCCTCTGTTGTCAACAACATCACCCTCTACGTTCACAGCCTTGCGCTTAAGAAACCTTCTTTGAGCTACCGATTCAAGAGAGGAACTCCCAAGTAATGCCCACTGTTCTTTGAGAAGCTGAGTAAGAAAGGAAATGGCAGTGTACCTGATGTTAGTCTCACGAATTCGCTGATAGAGCTCATGTTCCTCAAGAGCCTTGTTAAAATCAGTTTCCCATTTCAACAAGTCATGAGTCACCAAATCGCTACCACTCTCCTTCAAAATCCCAATCCTCTTCGTCCATATCCTCTCAAGAGCCTCGGTGAACAAACCATCCGAAGCAAACATTGGCCACATAAATCTAAGCGTACACTCAGCAGCCGTCCAGGAATAAGCAGACTTGTGAGACTCCATGAGTAGCGAATGTTGCTGCAACAGAAGCTTCTCAAGAATCTCGAGAAGGTCAAGCATTCCCTCATCGATCGTACCTCGGATCAATGAATTGGAGATATCCCGCAAGACAGAAGATACCTTGAGCTTTATGCAGTCAGAGGAATCACCCAATTGCAGAGCCGAAATCAGATTAGTAGGGGCAACCCTAGGATTATGTTGTCGACGGAGGATAAATTCAGCAACCCATTGATCAATGACTTCCATTTTTGAAACTTTCGCGATCAAAGTTGCAAACTTTTTTTTTTGATCAGCGGATGGAATGTCGCCGGAGAAGACGAAAAGCTCCGATCAGTGATTGAATTCGAACGGTTTCAGGTATATTCTGTTATTGGGCCTTAATTGGGCCTAAAGTCAAAAGAAGATAAACGGTGTGGATGCTAAAAGAGTGACAAGTGTCAAGAGCTGAGCCTTATCCATAGATTCCCCAATCCTCTCTTTCTTACTACTCTGTCGCTTGGCGCGCTCTCTCTCCATAGTTCCAGTTCTGATATCTCACTTTCACAGTTTGTGTCTGTGCGATAATGGCCATGGCAGAGCTCTCAACCCCCCAAACGACGTCGCCTTTTCTGAACTCGTCGTCTCGGCTTCGTCTCTCTTCAAAATTGCATCTTTCAAACCACTTTCGCCAACTTCTTCTTCCACCTCTCCACACAACAACTCCCAACTCCAAAATCTCTTGCTCCGTTTCTCAGAAGTAAGTCTCTTTAAGCTCCTTGTAGTTTCTTCTCTCTTAAAAAACTCGACTTTATCTGATCTTAGATGCTTTTTTGAATTTATGATAAAAGTAGCCAAGCTCCTGTTGCGGTTCAAGAAAATGGATTGGTGAAGACGAAGAAAGAGTGTTATGGAGTGTTCTGCCTCACCTATGATCTTAAAGCTGTATCTTACTATTCCTCTTTACTATTTTTCTTAAAAAAAAATCTTATCTTGAGACTTGAGAATGGAGATAATCCTCTGCTTCACATAATAATATTTTGCATAAATGTTGTAATCAAAATCTGGAATCGTCTTTGATCTTGAGTTATCAAATTTTTTATGTTTGCCAGGAAGAAGAGACAAGAACATGGAAGAAGTTAATCAATATTGCAGTTTCAGGTGCAGCAGGAATGATTTCTAACCACCTTCTCTTCAAAGTAAGTTAATCCTTTTTTAAGTTACTGTTTTATAGGATAAGGTTACCAATCATTGGTCTTATTTTATGTATCTTTGGTTTTCCGGGTGTGTAGCTTGCTTCAGGGGAAGTATTTGGTCCAGATCAACCCATTGCATTGAAACTGCTAGGATCAGAGAGGTCAATCCAAGCTCTTGAAGGTGTTGCAATGGAACTGGAGGATTCATTGTTCCCATTGTTGAGAGAAGTTGATATAGGAACAGATCCAAATGAAGTGTTCCAAGATGTGGAGTGGGCTATTCTGATCGGTGCAAAACCTCGAGGCCCTGGAATGGAACGTGCTGACTTGTTGGACATCAATGGCCAAATCTTTGCTGAGCAGGGCAAAGCTCTTAACAAAGCTGCCTCTCCTAACGTCAAGGTTCTTGTAGTGGGAAACCCTTGCAACACCAAGTAAGCTACATTCCTTAATTCAACCCTCTTCATATCTTATCAATGACGAAGATTGTGAGTATAATTCATTTTGTGTTCTTTCAGTGCCTTGATTTGTCTTAAAAATGCTCCCAACATTCCTGCAAAGAACTTCCATGCCCTCACGAGGTTAGACGAAAATCGTGCCAAATGCCAGGTACTAGATTTCACACTTATATGTGATTGTATGCAACATATTTGCAGACATATGACTGAAAATTCCATTTTGTAGCTTGCTCTTAAAGCCGGCGTCTTCTATGACAAAGTGTCTAATATGACCATATGGGGAAATCACTCCACGACTCAGGTTTGCCTATCTTGCTCTACTGTCATCTGTTATCTCCCTATATCTTGGGATGTTTCTCTTATTTTTCAGAAGTGAATCAGGTGCCAGACTTCTTAAATGCCAGAATTAATGGCCTGCCTGTGAAGGAGGTTATTACAGATCACAAATGGTTAGAAGAGGGATTCACTGAGAGTGTGCAGAAGGTAAGATGCCGTTTCCTCGGATAATGTAATGATTGCTGCAATGAGATGTAATGTTTGGCTGAGTAAGTTTGCGTTTGTTTTACAGAGAGGTGGGTTATTAATTCAGAAATGGGGTCGATCTTCTGCTGCTTCTACTGCTGTTTCCATTGTTGATGCTATAAAGTCTCTTGTAACTCCTACTCCTGAGGGTGATTGGTTTTCGTCTGGGGTACATCTTCTTTTACACTCATTTGGATAACAACAAGATAGTTTGGTTCAAGTTTTAACAGGGTTGTGTTAATGTAATTTTAGGTGTACACGGATGGAAATCCTTATGGTATTGAAGAGGGCCTTGTCTTCAGTATGCCTTGCCGGTCTAAGGTACGTTCTATCCTTATACCTAAAAACCTTTCTCTAGTGGTAAGTCTCAAAATGGTGTATGTTTCCAGGGAGATGGAGATTATGAACTTGTCAAGGATGTAGAAATTGATGACTACCTTCGCAAACGAATCGCCAAGGTATAGCCTTCTTAGAGATTAGTCTTTTTCAGGTTTTGTATTTAAATCTAGAAGTTTAACTGAGTCATGAAAATATTGCAGTCGGAAGCGGAACTCTTGGCTGAGAAGAGATGTGTTGCACACCTCACTGGAGAGGTATGTATCTATCTTATCTATTCAAACAAAACCATTTTAATAGAAGCTAACCTTAGTTGTTTCATGGATGTGTGTTTCAGGGCATCGCCTACTGTGATCTTGGTCCGGTAGATACTATGCTTCCTGGGGAAGTTTGATTTTTGCAGGACGTTGAACATCTCAAGTAAGCATTTTCTTCCGGGTTGTTAGCTGTACAGAGCACAGCCACATTACTTATGATTGTTGTTCAGAATAAGAAAATGAAACTCTTTCTTCTTATGTGATTTTACTTGAGCAATGCTCCAAAAGTCATATACAGCAGTATTTGTAAACACTTGAAACAATCCTCTGCTTTATTCCAGTTTCAGAACTCAAACTAGATAATGCATAGTTAATATCAAACACAAACTGTTCACAAATCTTATGAGCCTTTTTTTTTTCTTTTCATTTTTTCCAAACCGATCTGAAAACAGCTCCCTATATGTGAAAGTATCACCAACAAAGTTACAAAGAGTATACTATACATAAGAATTAAGAAGCAAGAATGGATGATGGTGCTGTTGGTCGATACCCTGAAAAGGCTATGCGTAGCCTCTTGCATTCGTCTCTGGAGTAGTCTAATGAAAAACAGAGCTGTCTTATCACTTCCCTCTTCTCTTCTGCTACTTCTTCTAGTTCCCTCCTCTGCTTCTCTACCTCCTTCTCCATCTCCATTGTCCTATCGTCTCTCGCTTTTATTTCACTTCCAAGTCGACTTATCTCTGACTCTAGCTCACTCACCTTTTTGCTTGACGTCTCTATGCACCTCTCTTTCTCTACCTTTTCCAGAGTCAGCACCTCGATTTCGCCCTTCAGCTTTTCCTCCTCTTCTATTTTCTCATTGGTCACCCTTCTTATCTCATCTTCAAGATAACGCACATTGGCTTCCAGCTCTTTGAACTGGTTATCCCGGTGTATTTTTTCTTCCAACAGCTTTGCTATCTCGGCTTTAACCTGTGCCTTCTCCGGGAAAATCTTCTCTTCTGCGTCAGACACTGCTGTCTTTAAATCCCTGATCTCATGATCTCTACCTGCTAAACTCGATTTCAACATGGAGATTCTATCCAGCAGCTTCACCACCTCTCTTTTATCTGCACTAGCCTTGCTTTTCCATGCTGCAGCTTCTTTCTGTGCCGACTCAAGCATGTCTTGCAGACTCTTGAGTTTCGCGTCATCAGACTTGCTTTTCTCGACTTCTTTTCGCATGATACCGTTTTGTTTCTCTGCCTCCCGAAGCCTCAGGCTTGTAATTCTCAGCTCTTCAGACAAAGTCTCAATGTCCAGGTCTTGGGTGGAAGCTGCCCCTTCGTCCCGTTCATCATCCAATTCAGATGGCAAGTATCTGGCAAGCTGACTCTTTAAAATATAGATTTGGTCTTCTGAATTCTGTAACTTCTCCTTTGCATCTCTTAGTTCTTGCTCACAAGCAGCAAGTTTTGCGGGGAAATCAACAAATTTACTCTCACTTTTCACCCTCGGCAACAAGCTCTCGGTGTTCCCTTCAAGTTGCATCCTAAGTCTTTCTTTGGCTTCACGTAGCTCAGTCTCAAGATCCATGATCCTTTTGCTTAGGGACTGAAAGTCAGAGCCAATACTCACATAACCAGGGTAATTAGTGACAGAAGAATCATCAGATTCAAGTTCAGAATCAGTAATGGAAGCAGAATCATCTCCATCTTTGTGATAAAGATCAGAGGGAAGTCCTCCATTGCCAAGGAAGTATTCAAAACCAGGAGCACGTCGCCCAGAAGGGGGACGGCCTAACCTATTAAGCTCATTAGAGGTCCAGAAAGAAGTGAGGTCGGAGGCAGAGATATCGGAAAGGCCAGACCCCTGTGACTGAAGCTCTAAAGGAGAGCCTTTTCTCAACTCTCCAGTGATGTTCTCGTACCGCTCTGCCAAAGCACGGTACATACGGTGAAACTCTTCGACAAGGCTAATAAGCTCAGGTCTTGACTGGTAATACATCTCTGCCTTCTTGGCAAACGAATCTGCATCCTCCTCTATCAACTTCACCATCCGTTTCACGCTCCGGTCCATCTCTAATCATGACCATCACACAAAACATAAAGTTGGCATTTTTATAAAAAAGACTAACCACCTAATTTAGGAAACCCCAAGGCTAATGAGATATTTTCATTACGAAACTAACATGATTTTTTTAACATGAAAATGACACAATGCGAATGGACTCACCATCGAGATTATTCTCAAGCCACTTAGAATTTTTGAGACCGATATGACTATCCCACCACCATGGATTTGATTTGGTGGATTCTGCTCGTTTGATACTCTTCTTGGAACGAACCTGCAGGCAAAAAAAAACCAGAATCAAGAATGAGAATTCGGTTGTTTTTGATATGAAAAAGACAAAGTTTTTTGGTTTTGGTATGTACCAGATCATAATCCATGGCTGCAAAATCAATGGACCCTATGGGAAAGCTGGAAACACACAAGAGACAATCATGAGACTATTGAAAAAAGATGACTTAACTTTTTTTGCGGACAAATAATACAGATTCTGTCTGTCAGACATATAATACAAAAACGTCGGTCTTATTTATTTTCCGCTAATCCCAAAAAAAACAAAACAAAAAGGATCGGTACTGTTCAGAGAATCATGACAAAACGTATTACACAAAAGAGGACAAAAAAGAGAACCTGAGAAGAAGTATAAGGTGGAGGATGATGATGATGATGGAAGAGAGAAGAAGAGGGAACAAGAAGATGAAAGTTTTTTTTGCTTTTTAGAATGAAGAAAAATCGAAAAAATAAAATATAGTCAAATGAATTTATACACTTACCTTTAAGACAGATATTGCGGAACAAGTCTTAACTAGTACTTAGCAATTTCAACGTGGCCAAGTGATTAGGTTGTCTCTCTGTAATTAAAATATATGTAATTAATTAAGGGATCAATTCCACTGTGTCCACGTGGAGAGAGAATAGTATTATTTGAGAGTCATTGACCTCTCCTTCCCCACTAATCAAACCGACCATTCACAAGATTAATGGCCGTCGTGACTATTTCTTTCTCGTTTAAATTCTATTGCCATTCGAATACTTGAAGGTTCATGCAGTCAAATGATCATTGCCAGTCATTGAAAATTTGAAATGGCTTTTGTTCTTTCTAAATGTAATTAAAATGGGAATACTTTTCAGTGTTTAGGAGAAATCCACGTTATTAATTAGTCTCGAGAGGCCAACACTTTCCATCAACTTTTTATTTTGTGGCGCTCCACTTCTCTAGCTTTTTCCTTTCATTTCAAATTTAATGCATTTAAAATCTAATTCTATATGATTAATTTGTTGATATAAAATTACGTATGTTGACCAAATAATATAAATACAAATACATTTCTTAAAGAGATATATCTCTACGATATATGAAGATGATGTAAACACAAAGAAAATTATTCTGCCAATGTGTAAGCGACTAGATTTAGATTACATTTCTTTTTCATAAAGTGTCAACACCTGATTTTAATTTCTTTTTCACCAAACAGACATTTTTCAACAAATGTTATTAGAGCTGTTAGATTTTTTGAATAAATATAATTAAAATTCTCTTTTGTTTCATACACACAAATAAAGAATATTATCTTGCAAATCTCATTATCTTATAGTAATTAAGTATCATATAATTAAAATTAAGTAGATTTGTAACTATCAAGCTTCATATTAAAATCTATATTTTATATTAAAAAGGAATGGATGCAACATTTAAGAATCTTTAAAGTTTTTATTTATTTCTCTTTTCACTGTCTATTCTTCTTATGTAATTTTTGAAAACTAGAAATCTCAAAAAAAAGAAGCTTATTATAGCGTAGAAAAGAAGAAGTGTCAGTGGTGTGGACTCATTATTTACTTGAAAGAGTAAATCTCAATTCAGAAAACAAAAAACATGTACGGTAGATAACAAAAAGAAGAAGTAAATATAAACGGTGCGTATCCTGATTTGGGCCTCGGTATAGAATGTGTTTAGGCCTTCAAAGTTGATCCACTACACATCAAAGACTGGTAAGGACAATCTACACATCAAAGTTGATCCACTGGAGAAGAATGTAATCTTTGTGAGTATTGGACAAAAACTGCCGTTTACATCGTTCATTTAAAGAACATGATCATGAACACATCATAGCCATACATATATATCACACTAACTACAAAAGATAGTGCAATGAATATGATGTATGAGAAGAAGATTAAAGATGAGTGAGCATCATTTTGTGTTTGTACATGGAGCAGGTCATGGAGGATGGTGTTGGTACAAGCTCGCCAATTCACTGAGGGAGAATGGACATAAGGCTACATGTATCGACCTCAAGGGCGCTGGGATCAACCCAACTGATCCAAATACTGTCTCTTCTTTGGATGACTACGACGAGCCTCTCTATGCCTTCCTCTCCCAACTTCCCAACGATCAAAAGGTCATTCTTGTGAGTCACAGCGTTGGAGGAGGGAGCATGACTGCTGCCATGTGCCTCTTTCCTTCCAAAGTTTCCTTGGCGGTTTACGTCGCAGCTGCCATGGTCAAACCTGGTACCTTGATTCCTGAAAGACTCAAAAATGTAATGAAGATATGTTCAGGATTGATAGAGGAGGAAACTGAGAAGATATGGGACTATACTTTTGGAAACGGACCGGAAAATCTCCCAACAAGCATCATGATGAAACCTGAGTATGTTCGGGACAAGTTTTACAACGAGAGTCCCATGGAGGTTTGTCCTTTATTACCAACTCTTTGTTATCATCTCTGCTTCAATATTTTTTTTAAGTATCATCATCATTCATCTATTCATTATGATCAGGATTACACACTGGCTACAACGCTTCTGCGTCCGGCCCCTGTCATGGCATTCGTAGGCATAATGGATATTCCGAAAGCTCCAGAGACTGACAAAATCCCAAGGGTGTACGTGAAGACAGGGAAGGACCATTTGTTCGAACCAGTTCTTCAAGAGGTAATGTTGGCTCTGTGGCCTCCTGCTCAGACCTTCCTTCTTCCGGACAGTGATCACTCTGCTTTTTTCTCCCAACCTCAAGAACTCTATCAATTCCTCCTTCAAGCAGCCTCATCTCTTTCTCCCTGATTTCTCTTTATATGTCTCTCTGGAAGTCTTCCAAACCCATCTTTTGGATACTTGGCTTGCATAAAACTGAATCATATTCATATATATTATGAGATACATAGAAAGGAGCCTACAATAATTGCTATGTAAATGTCACCCGCGCCTCCAACTGCGGTCTTACTACTACTCGGGCGAGTGATTTTCAAACAATCAACATAAAGCCTTAAAAGACATACAACTCAAAAACAAAGATAAAAAAGGGAATGAGAAATCAAGGGGTGATTTGAACTTGAACGTTGGAGTCCTTGGGTTTGCTATTGTCATCAGAAGATGGCCGGGTGGTCTCAGAGTCTGAAACTCGTATCTCTTCAATCATTCTAACGACATCATCCATGGTGGGTCGTACCTCAGGCATTTGAGCTACACATGCCATAGCAATCTGCAGCATCTGTACCATTTCTTCTTCAATGTTCTGGAAACTCATCAGCTCAACATCAAACACCTCGCTTGTCCATTCCTCTCTCACAACTGACTGAACCCACCTGGGGAGATCAACCATGTCATCTCGGCTTGGCGACTGCACTGGAGACTTCCCAGTCAACATCTCTAGTATAAGTACACCGAAACTGTAAACATCGGATTTATGTGTGTGTTTCCTTGTTTCCATTACTTCTGGTGCGCGGTAGCCTGCACCCCTCATTGGAGCAATGGGCACAGCCATCAGAGGGGTCAGTCCAAAATCAGAAATGCATGCATCGCTCTCCTGCTTCATAATCACATTTGAGGACTTTATGTTTCCATGACTGAACTTTGGACCTCCAACTGCATGGAGATGAGCTATACCTTTTGCGGCTGATAGTGTCATTTTTACTCTGGAGTCCCAGTCGAGAGGCGTTTTCTCACTTCCCCGGTTACCTGTCATGGCATCAAAATCAACATATTCTTAGGCAAACAACGAGGTAAATATAAACCATTAAACGAAGATAGGAAGAAGACTAACCATGGAGGAGTGATGATAAGTTACCAGCAGGGTAATAATCACAAACCATGAGCTTCTCATCCTTGGAGTAGTAATATGCACGGAGGGGAACCACGCTAGGATGGTTCCCGACCCGACTGATAATCTCCATTTGCTGTTCAAACTCCCTCTTTCCAGCTGCCACTTCCTTCAACCTTTTTACCACCACAGTTGTGGATTCCTCTAAGACAGCCTTGTATGCTGTCCCATAGCTACCTTTTCCTAGTACTTCCGCTGATGCCCTCAACAAATCCTCTAGATCAAAGTTATAGGAGCATCCATTAAAGAACACCAGCTTATTCTTCTCAGGTTCTTGCACCCCACTTCCAAATTCTTGCTTTGCTTTCTCAGTCAAAGTCTTTACTTTTACGATGCTGTCTTCCCTCTTGTCCTTTTTCTTGATACAGCAACACAAGATAACTACGGTGATTAACAGCAGCAGTGCAGCCCCACCAGCTGCAATAGGAATGATAGTGCTTACATGTAGTTTCCTTTTTGAACCTTCTTTGTGAGGAAATGGCGGCAATGGAGGCGTGGAGATGTGCGGGGTAAGAGAAGGAGGGGGAGAGGAAATGGCACATGGTTGCAGAGGAAGTCCACATAACAATGTGTTTCCGGAAAAAGATGAACTGGGAAACCCACCAAGTGCAGAGGGTATTGAACCATTAAGATGATTGTTGCTCAAGTTTAACCGTCTCAGACTTACTGTATCAAGATTAGGTACTGGTCCAGAAAGTTTGTTATTTTGGAGGCTTAACCCTGTCAATTGCTTCAGATTTTGGAACGTTGCTGGTATCTTCCCGGTGAAAGAGTTAAACGAGAGATCTAGGATATTGAGCTGTGGGGACACAAAGGAAGGAACCTCACCGGAGAAGTTGTTATGTTGGAGATAGATGTGATCTAGTGAAGGGAGAGAGTGAATATCAGGAGGAAGGTTACCACTGAGGAGGTTTGATCTCAAACTGAGAATCCTGAGTGATTCTAGTTTACCAAGTGTGTTTGGAGGGATTGGTCCCAAGAGTCCAATTCCCGGAAGGCGCAGAGCGTGAACACTTGTACCATCAGAAGTGCAGGTGACGCCAACCCATGATTTGCAGATATGGTTAGTGGAATTCCAGTTGAGCCGTCTAAGATGAGGAACAGAAGCAGCAAAGGCAAGAAGAGCTTGCCTATCCGAGTTCAGGTCCGCAGTAGCAAAAGAGCAGAAAGTAGTTGTGACTAACAAGAAAGACACAAGACAAGCAAACAAGAACCCCTTTGAGGGTTTCAAGGCAAATATTGGACCAACATAAATCTGAAAATGGAGCTGCATCATCTGCTTGACTTCTTGGCCCTCCTGCTTCAAAAGAAAACGAGAAGATGATGAGCAATGACTTACACCACACAAGCCAGTATGCAGCACCCAGGAAAGCTAAGCTAATCAGGTTCTCTAAGTAACTGGCCAAGCAGGCCTCATTTATTGGATCACAACACTGAAAGTTGATAACTAATATTCGGTTGTGAAAGAAACAAGCATATCAGTGATATAAAAAACTACAGTGGGAAGAAAAAACAAATAAAGATACTAGTTAGAGCTTCAAGAAAAAGTATGCCATTGCCTATCTTTATCTTTATCATTGGGAGATTAAACAATCCAAGAGGCTAAGATAAGAGATTGAAGCATCCAGCAAACAAAAAAGCAAAAGGAATAAAGCTAAAGAGCCAAACTTTAACACAAAACTTTGATGAGCAAAGAAAAGCAGACTCCTTTTGCCAAAAGATATGTCACTAGAGAAAGAAGCAGAGGTCTGTCCATCATGTGGACAATGTCACTAAGTAAATAAAGATGAGTTTTGAGTGTCTGATTTTTTTCGGAGTTGTTGAACAAACAACGTGTAGCCAGCGAATTGGAACTAATATACCACGTCACTAGCTAAAGTCTGGAAACTTTCCTACCCACCTAGCCGGAGAAAATGGCGATTTTAAGTATAATTCCCAACAATGAGGGACGGACAATTACAGAAAGTTAAAAGGAAAATACAAAAAGCAAAAACAAGAAGACGAGAGAAAGAGGAACCTGAGAGTAGAGAGGCAAGCTAGCAAAGTACGAAAATTGTGGGCATTGAAGAACTTAGCAAGAGGAGGAAGAAATGATGCAGATGGAACGCTCAGACCTCTGCATTTACTGTTATGAGCGGACCATAACACAATCTTGAAATGGTGAAAGAGAAGAAAGAAGAAAAGGCAATGCGTGTGGGGACTAGTGGAAGAGACAGAGAGAAGGAGAAGAAGAAGAAGAAGTAGAAGAAGAGAGAGAGTGTAGTGAAGTTAAACAAAAGAGGCGTAATTGTTAAGGGTAAGACAGTCTTCAAAAGGGAGTCTTTAGATCAAATCATAGTGGTGTGTTAACACCGCAACAAACGTTAGTGTAGATATTGACCAAGCTTAAGATTCTTACGAGATAGCAAAATGACAAATACATGAAAACAAAAGCCATCTTGATCCAAAAAAAGGGCCTAGTTGTTATTTTTAAAGTAATCATTTGGATATGGTAATAGTTCTTACCTGTCCAACCACTCTTCCTACTGTTTTCTCTTGATTTGCATAATTCTTGATTTGCGGATTACTATGTAAAAGTAAAACTTGTCATTTCATCATCTACCAAGTACCAACTCCTAAACAAGATCCAACACATTATTGATGTGTTAAGTTTTCTAAGAACATTGAGCCGTGGAGCGTGCTCCTAATACCAACAATTTCTATATCATCACTATTTTTTTTCTTTTTAGTCAGACGAGACATAATTATTACCTGCTGCTTTCTCTGTTCCATGTTCTGTCAATTCTAAGGACACCATCCCCTGTTTTCTTATACATTAAACTGTAAAAAGCTGATAGACTAAACACAAATGTGAACTCGAGTTCCACAAATTAGAGATGCAACTTAGTTCATAATTTAACTGCAAATTTGATTCCATGTCCATAAATAATTCTCAAAACACACTGGAATTTTAACAACAGCCATAATCTGATTCCATTTCTGCATTCTCTTCACTTGTAAAACTCAAAGTCCGTGTCTGGCTTCTTAACATTTGCGCGGTACCCCTTCTCGAAATCCTTAGGTAGTATCACATATCTGTTCTTTCGCACAGCATGCATACCAGCTTCCTGGCAGATTGCTGCTATCTGCATTGTTCAACATAAAATCGAAATAGTGAGTTATTTAATATCTATCATCATAAGGACTTTCATGCAATCCTTTCAGGATCAATTTCCATGTACATTACCACAAGATTAAGAAAATAAAACCATATTACTGCCAAAAATTGGTTTCTCAACAATTCAGTTCAGGACAATGATGTACAAACGACTCAGCTAACAACCATACATAATGCTTGAAACAGTATGATTAAGAGTATGCTCAAGTGCACATTTCGAAGAACATCATTAGGTGGTGACCCAGTCACAATGGAGGATATATCATGGTAAAAGTAAACTCTAGCGGGAAGCATAGAATAGTAAGCAAGATAAACTAACCTCAGCAGCACTAATTTTATCAGGCCGTGAAACATAGTCTTCCAAATCAACCTCATCGCTGAGGTTCATTTTGGAGGTGCATACCTACACAAGGAAAAACCAATCAATAAGACAAAAACTAAGATATCAGTCAAAACTTTCTTTTGAGAACACATTTGGTTACGTTTCTCTTTAATGAGTTATTGAAGTGCTTGTAGTAATAAACTTGCCTGGAAAACAAGCCTCTTTTGACGTCTATCAGGAAGGGGGAACTCAATCTTACGATCAAGTCTCCCAGGACGTAAGAGTGCAGGATCTAGAGTGTCTGCCCTGTTGGTTGCCATTATGACCTTCACATTCACGGTCTGGTCAAATCCATCCATCTACATCAAATTAAACACAGTAGGTTAGGACACAGCTAAAATCCATTATTCTACATTATAAGATCTGAATTAAAACATCCTAGGAGAATATCAAGATACACATATTTGTTTCATGTTCTCACCTGATTAAGTAGTTCCATGAGAATACGCTGAACTTCCCTATCAGCTCCTGTTTGAGCATCAAACCTAGCAGTAGCTATGGCATCTACCTCATCAATGAAGATGATAGCTGGAGCGTTTTCCTTGGCAAGACGAAAGACATCACGAACCATGCGAGGTCCCTGCAATTGAAAGGCCAGTTAGTCACCAAACAGAATCGCCCAATAAGACCTTAACATTCAATAAAGCTATACTCTTTATTACCTCGCCAAGGTACTTTTGCACAAACTCGGATCCAACAACCCTAATGAAGGCAGCGGTTGTGTGATTGGCAACAGCCTTAGCCAACATAGTCTTCCCAGTACCAGGAGGTCCATAGAGCAAGACACCGCGTGGTGGGTCTATACCAATCTGCTTGTAAAGCTCGTGGTGGGTAAGAGGCAATTCAACAGCCTCACGAATTTCCTGTTTCTGAATATCACATCCTCCAATATCCTATACAAAAAGATGAAGCAACACATAAGAAACCAAAGATCGATTCAAAAACCCTAACTTTAATTTAGAAAACAGGGTTAAGATTTGGAAAAAAGGAAACTTTACATTGTAGGAGACGTCAGGCTTCTCAGATTGGCTGAGAAGGGAGATGCTAGAATCAGCCTCCGGGGGCAAAACATCAACAAGGGCGTTGGAGTGACGGTGAAGAGCGACGGAAGCAGAAGGCTTTAAGAGTTCTCTGTTGATGGTGCTGAGAATTCTGACATAGTAATTGGAGCCAGTAGTAGATCCGACGATGCCGTTGTTCTGATCTACCATCTCCATGAACTGACCAATCACGAGAGGCACGGATTGAATTCGTTTGACCTCCTCTTGAGCCCGTAACAGCTCTCGTTTGAGATTCTTTTGCTCGTCTTTCACATATTCCTCTTGGATATCGGTGAACTCTAGTTGCCGTTCAAGCGATTTCAGGCGGCCATAGAGATCTTCTTCGTCTGCGGTGGATAGATCCATCAAAGCCGGAGATGCTTTAGGGTCAAGAACCATCGATGCAACAGCCGCAGAAGCCATTATCGGTGAGAGATCTTTGGTGTAGAGAAAAAGAAAAGTGAGATTGCTAAGAAAATAAATAGACTTTTGGTTTGGAGTAGAGGAAAAGAAAAGTGAGATTGTGAACCGACTCATCTAAAACCTTTATTCATGGCCTCTTTTAAGAAGGAAAATATTTAAAATGGGCCTTTTGCACAAAATAAGGCCCAGTTTTGATATTTAATAGCCCGTTTACTTTTTCCATTTTAATTTGTTCTCCAATGAATTAGATTGGGAAATTAGTCCCTCCAACTGAGAGAAAGGAAATAAGGTTATAGGAAGCGTAATATTTGGAAAACTGGAATATATCTAGAAAACGCCACTAGCCAAGACACTTGGTTTAACTTATTTTGTGACCGAGAGTTGGTCTAAATGGTATCGTCAGATCTATAGCTCATCGCCTGGTAACCAAAACTGAGAGAAAAAAATTTCAATTTCGGAACCGCAAAGCCGATCATCAGACATACTTTAGTTCTACTTTCATATTGGAAAAACAAACTTTACCTTAGGTTGATAAACTTAAATTATGCCATAAGTATTAGCCCCAACCAAAAACCAAAAGCCGCATAAGGTAAAAAAATATGGGGCATTTGGACAAAACAAAGCTCTCTTATGCTTTCCTCTTCCTTAGTAACCTTGCGGATGATCTCTTAGTGGCTCTTGAGCTGTGTTCATCATCACCTGATTCTTCAACATCCTTATCTTCTTCTTCTTCTTCTTCTTCACTTGGGGTTGCTCTGCCTCTCTTTCCCGCGCTTGTAAGATTAGCGTTCTCATTTCCTTTAAACACATAGATCTGCACCAAGCACACATTTATAATCAACTTGTGAGGATGTCAACTAACTCCAACCACATGACTCTTGTTCAAGACAAATACATACCTTGAACCTCTTTGGTTCAACCAATTGAAAGAGTAGAGCATCACCATCATCCAATTTATGATCAAGAGCAAACCTTTTCCAACCACCACTGAGCCCACTTCTTCTCCCAATGTACACTGCTTCATACTCTTCACCTTCTTCATCCTCTAGTAATATTTCCATAGTTTCCTCAGGAAAATTGTCCACACAGAATCTTGAAGGAAGCCCCTTGAAAATGCAAACAAAACCATGTAGGTCAAGTAAGGTTACACGAAATCCTAGAAGAAGAAACACACACAAGTAGTGTAGTGAAAAAACGTACCAGCCAAAAGCAACTGTAAACATGGGAGCGAACCATAGATTTCACAAAGGAAGGATGTGGAGATTTAAGGCGGCTCTGGAACTTCTCTGCAGCCTTGAGTGCTCCAACCTTTTCTTCGTAAGATGCAAACTTGCACTCATGTAGAGGACGAGAAATGTAGCTGATAAATTTAAGTAATTGATCAGATTAAAGGATAGGTTTTTAGGGCTAAATTTTGCAGAGGCACTTACGTAGCCCATGTAGAGCTATGCCGCGATCTCCTCAGATTCGAAGTACGACCAGTGTCTACGGCGACCTGGAAAGAGAAAGGGGATTAGGGTGATTGATTGCTGTGAAAAAATCGATTACAAAATCAATAGAAATCTGGGAGAATTACATCATCGCGATAGGAAGAAATTACGGTACGAACACGAGAAGAGCGCCTTGGTTCAGCAGTAGCAAAGAGGGCTTTATCGATGGGTCTGGGATTACGCTGCTGAAGAAGCTGAAATTGAGGTAAAGCTGCAAAATTGAGCAAGGTATGAAGCAGAAATGGGAGAAAAAAAACACAAAACCTGAGGCGTTTTCTTGGTAATCTGAGTCAGAGTCTTAGAAATCTGGGAAATTCCTAAATCCTGAGATTCAATAATCAAAATTTAAAAAACGAATCAGAGGAGGAGGAGAAGTAAAAAAACGCGGTAACGATGAAGGGAAACCTGAAATCGCTTGTGATTCTCTTGAAGACGGAGCTTGCGAGCTTCCTCATAGGCCATGGCGATTGCAGAGTTTCCCAGGAGGAGAAAGAAATGGCGCTTCGTTTGAAATTCGAAATCACGGAATTAGGTATTTTCTTTTTGTTAATTGATAATTAATTGGGCCTATATGGGCTTTACCAAATAATATTTGATTATTTTACCGTAACTTGCTTCGTACTACACAATCCCGTAACTCCACAAGAACTTGTGTTAAATCATTCACCATTATTTATTATTCCCTTTGTCTCGTGTTCTTTGGGACCCTATTAACTATATAAGCTCCATACAAAAATCAATGAGATAAATATAAATTTTACACATTTGACTCTGAGGTTCACTACTCCAATTTGACAGCTGCATCAAGCATATCCACACTGCTGTTTTGTTGTGTCCATAGCTGCGCATATCTACCTGATTTCCCCAATAGCTCGTCGTGGGGGCCTTGTTCCACCACCTTCCCGTTTTCCAGTACTACGATCTGCCCAGAATCACAAGTTTCAGTAAAGCAACAACATTGTTTCTTTGCGTTTTTGAGCTAAGTTGACAACACTATTTACTACAAACCTCGTCACATTGCATCGCAGTGGTCAGCCTGTGGGCAATGAAGATGGATGTCCTGTTACTCGCTAGTGCCTTGAGTGCGTTCAGTATCTCTGCCTCTGTTGTGCTGTCCAGCGCACTCGTTGCCTCATCACACAACCTGTGTATACCAACCATCTCTCTATGTATGTGAGGACTCAACACGTACTTAATCAAAAAAGTAAAGTCAATGTTGCGTCTATGCAAAATTACTTACAGAATCGCAGGGGATTTCAAAAATGCCCGAGCAAGTGCCACTCTTTGTTTCTCTCCACCACTCAACTGCACACAACATCACTCCATGGTCATCACAATCCAAAAACCCCATCAATATATGACTCTACTCAAACTCTGGATGGTTACTCATCAATGCTACTCTTTGCAATTATATAGAAAACATCTATTGGCTAATCCCTTTTTTCTCATGCTTGTTACAGTTCTGCAAAACTAGTTTATTAAATCATATTTTTCTTCATCCAGTTTTCAACAGGTGAACTTTGACTTGGAAGCCTGATTGACTTAGCTTGTTTTACTTTGATGATGACCATGACAAAAACGATGGGGACTAACTTCCCATAACTCAATCATGTAACTGCGACTTGCCACTGGACTCACAAGGCATATACTGATCTACCTAAAAAATTCCAAATATAACATCAAAATACTGACCTTGAGCCCCCTTTCCCCAACAATCGTGGAATATTTATCAGGGAAATTACTGATCGTTTCATGAATTGCAGCACGCCGAGCAGCCTCATACACCTGAATTGAAATATATAAAAGATGAGGATTATTGATATTAACCTTGACATTTGTACCAAGTATTAAGTTGACTGGTACCTCTTCTTCTGTAGCTGAGAGACGTCCATAATGTATGTTGTGAAATATTGTGTCATTGAAGAGCACCTGCAGTGCAATAGAGATTACCCTTGAGAACAACAAAACTTGGAGTGTTCTACATTAATACAAAGCTAACAATGATACATGTGAAAAAAAGAGAAGAAAAGTGGAAAAAAAAAAAATCTAGTGTCTAGTATGACCAGAAACGTTACAATGAGAAGAAAGGCGAGAAACAACTGAATGCAGGTCATAGTGGTTTGTATAACAAAAAGCCTCACGACGAGAAGTAGCAAAAATGCCAACTTACAGTATCTTGCGGCACAACTCCTATGGAGCTTCGGAGGCTATCTAGTCTCACTTCCTTTATATCTTGCCCGTCAATCCTCACCTGTTAACCAACATGACAAAAAAGATGTTATCTAGATACCAAGCATTTTCTTCAGTAAATTTCTCTGCTTCCAATTCCAAACAAGACCCCACAGTTCACTAACAAAAAAATGCTTACATTTCCGGAATCTGTGTCGAAGAATCTAAATAGCATTCTAAGAATTGTTGACTTGCCTGCCATAGAACAAAGCATAAGGTTTGCAACAGTATACCAGAATAATAAATTTGAACTTAGATGCTTAAAAAGACGAGGTTAAGGAATTACCGCTCCCGCTAGTACCAACGATTGCCACACTTTTTCCTGCCGGTACGACAAAGGAAATTCCATCTAATATTTTTCTCTCTGGAAGGTAACTGTAATTGTAGAAAAAGAGAATGATGATGTGGCAATAGACATAAGTTATTAACCCCTTTCGTCTTCAACCACAACATGAAACTGATATCCAAATCATGCAATATATCTTATAATTTGCCACTTTGATAAGCTCAACAAATCTAATTAATAAAGACTTTCTGGGGTGTATAGAGTTCATCAATGAAATAAAATTTGAGTTAATAGTACTTATATTATTCTTAACACACTTTGATGCCTAAGATAGCATGGCACTTACGATTAATAAAATAGTAATGTTCCACCTACCTGAAGTGTACATTTTCAAACTCAATGCTTCCACCTTTCAGTACAAGAGGCTTTGCGTCATCTGTATTTGTGATGTCAGATTTCTCCTGAAAACAGTAAGAGAATACCACATCAATAATTCAACATGCCAGGATTGCATACTAAAAAACAGGCATTTAAATATCACTTCTTGATTGAAGAATTTTTATAAAAAAAGGTGTTAAGAAACTTAACCAAATGCAGAGTTTAAAGAAACAATTATAACATCCTCATATACCTCTAGCAACTGGAACATTGATTTCATGTCCACAAGGCTCTGAATAGTTTCACGGTAAACACTACCCAAAAAGTTTAGAGGAAGAGACAACTGAAAGAGGAGTCCATTCACCATAACCTGCATCGCCCAAACATGCAAAAGCTTTTTAGAAAACAATTTGCATCAAAAAATGCAGAGAAACATAAAATACCAATGAAGGGCAAAAATCGAAGGACGCACTGACCAAGTCACCGACTGTCATCTGGCCATTCATGATGCCCTGAGAGCACAACACCATTGCTGTTGACAGAGCTGTACTAAATATGATACTTTGTCCAAAGTTTAAAAAAGCAAGACTTCTTTGAGTTTGCAGGGCAGCATCTTCATATTCTGGTATAAGCAGCAGAATCGTCACAAGAGAAATCAAGGTAAATGGACTGAGCAATAATATATTATGATAGAACATCAATCGGTTTTCTTCCTAGCAAAAAGAACTTGTAAATAAAGATGTAAAACATTCATCAGCGAATTTTCTTATCTGCATTTATTTCTTGTTGCAACTATTCTTGCTAAAAGTAAAACTGGAGAAATTTAGTTTTTTTTAAAAATTTAGATTAAAAATTTCATCTAAACAGCTAGTAGAGTTACTTACTTTTCAGTAACTGGTCATACTTTTCAGCTTCATAACCTTCATTGTTAAAATATTTGACAGTCTGAAACGAAACAGAAATTCTGTCAAAACTGCAAGTAAAGCAAAAAGAAAAAGATTGAAATTTTACCTCATAATTTATCAGAGAATCAATGGCCCTTGTGCTAGCATCATTATCAGCTTTGTTCATAGCCTTTCTAAACTTGGTTCGCCACTGGATAAAATAAAGGAAACGTGAGCAAAGCATCTGACACCAAAAAGATTTGTAACAAGAAAATGAAAGATGAAGAGAATTTATAAAGACAATTATCCTTCTACATGGAAATCACACCTAATAATATCACAACTAGAATGATTTTTAAGCCAATCCAAAGAGTTGATAGAATTAAGTTCAGAGAAGCTTAGTAACGAGTTCAAGAACACTGTTTAGTAGTGTCTTAAGCAAATTATTACAGTTAGTGCTGGATTATCACGATATTAACGCAAGCATTGCATTATAATAACACAAACAAGTCGATGTTGTAAGTATTGCATTATAGTTGGCATTGAAAAGAGTATACCGAAGAATGCACAGTACCTGTGTCACAGCTAATGTGAAAACTATATATGATCCAACAGAGAGGGAAGTAATCCAGGCAAAAGCAGCTCCGAACTTGTATGCTAGTATACCTGATACCATAGAAATCTGGAAGATACATATTAATTACGTCGACTGTTTTTAGAGACGAATGAATAGTGAAATCCAAGTATGAATGAGCAACTGCCAACTAGTCAAAATGAGAAAAATCAATGATCATGAGAAAGCACCAAGTGGTCAGACAAGCTTTACCTCCAATATGGTAGGAACAACATTGAAAACCATAGCTGAGAGGATAAAATTTATCGCACGGCTACCACGATCAATAATCCTGTTCAAGGCACCTGTTTCTCGACTAGACATAAGCAATTAAGGAAGGAAGTTATGATGAGATGGACCAAAGATGGAATGAGCGAGATTACTCACAAGAGTAAGAGAGGGGTAATAGATACCTTAGGTGGTAACGAAGGTCAAGATCATGTAAATGTGAGAACACCTGCAAAGCCACCATATGAAATTGATTGATATATACAGAGGATACAAACTAAAATCTATATCGACAAGATAGTTTAGAGCAATAGCAGCATACCTTTCTAGAAACAGATCGTATTGTTCGGAGAGCTACCTTAGAGAACACAGCAGTACGAAGTTCTGCGATGATGGAAAGTAGCAAGACCAAAAGTGAACAGTGCATTCTTTTCGGTTTTTTTTCATAAAAAGAAAAATGAGCTATTGAGAGTTACCATTAAAAGCAGAAGATCCCGTCCGAGCAATGCCATATCCAATGAGAACAGCAGCAGGAGTAGCAAAAACAGTAAGAAGAGTAGGGTTTGTAGCAGCGAAGGTGGTCAGAGAGGCTCCTGTACCGGTGGCTGAAGCAAGCCAATCAACAGCTAATTTGAAAAGGAAAGGGACTTGGACATTCAAGACCTTAGCACCCACTAGAAAACCCAAAGCAGCTATGACCCTGAAACGGAATTCTGGATTGTCTCTCATCCACAAATAGCCAGCAAGCGTGCGGAGAATCTTCATGTCAGCCATAGCCGAGTCTGAATCCGACGAGGTTGTCTTGATTTCCTTAGTCTTGGTGGCTGCTTGGTCGGGATTGGGAGTAGAAGTCGAAAAAAGACGCCCATTAAGCACGGAACTCCGTTGAACGAAACGAATTGGGGATGGTGATTGTGATGGTGATGGGGATGGTGAGTGATCGGAGAGGAAGGCATTGATAACGGGAGATGTTCGAATTGAGTTACGTCTGATGTAATTGGAGAAACCATTATGAGGACGATAATCAGAGCGAAGACTGTAGGAAAAAGATGGGATTTTGGGTTGAGGGTGAAGATTAGCGCGACAGAGTAAGAGCCCAGGAGCCCTAACAAGTCGAGATCCTCTCGACATCTCTTCTTGTCCGAAAGTTTCACCGACTGTTTTTGCTCCGGCGATGACTCTTATATCTCATTCCCGAGCTAGCTAACATGTCATGACGTTCGGCGGTATTTAATGGGCCTAATAAATAAAGCCCACTAATTTTTAAGCCCATTAATGTCTATCCCCTTGTCTAGTGAGTCGTCGTTTCTCAACCATTCTTTCATCATCATCGTCGTCAAGCAATGTTTATTATGAGCTACTTCCACAAGAAGTCATTGTTAGTAAAGAAATGGGAAGCCGTGCAGTATGTATACAACGTGTGGCACCACCGTGTTTTGAAGCCTCGCAAGTGAAGAAGATCAAAACTGTTGGTCCCTTTTTTGTGAATACTAGGAGTAAGAGAAGAAGAAGTAATGGCATGAGATGTAGCAGCATAGCTGACTACATTGGAGGTGACCTGGTGAAGCCGGACATCGGACAATGGCTTCAAGACGTGGAAGAGCACAAGGCAATCGCCATTTACGCTCCTCATGAGGGTGGCTACGAAGGTCGTTATCTTAACCGTCTCAAAATGGAAGGCTACTACTTTCTTGACATCTCTGCTCGGGGCCTTGGTGACCCTGAGACTACTCTCCTCAAGAACTACCCTGTTTGCCCTGTATGTCTCCTTTCATCGATCTTCTCCATTAATCTTATTTCGATAATATTTTGTGTGAACCATGGCTCTTATCTTCTTTTAGGCTCATCTTGGGAAACAACCTATAGCAAGATGGTACTATCCACCAGAGGTTGATTACAGGCTCTCTGCTCTTCCCCCTAGTGCCAAGGGTCTTGTCGTATGGGTCCTCGAAGCAAAGGTTTGAGTTTTTCTCATTTGATTTGTCTCCCATATGCTGCATCTCATCTTTCCATTTATATCTTATCAACAACTCAGGTCCTCTCAAAGGCTGAACTCCAATTTCTCGCTTTGCTTCCCTCTCTTCGGCCTAATGTCCGGGTTATTGCTGAATGTGGCAACTGGTGAGTATATCATTCCTTACCGTATACACTAATCAAATCAACTATGTTTGCACTTTGCATGACCATAAACTATTCCCCTGCAGGAGAAAGTTTGTGTGGAAGCCTCTAGCAGAAATTGCAAATCTAGCTGCACAAGAGTAACTTAATGGCACCAGTGGAACTTACCATGTATAGTTTTTCATGAATACATCTCCTGCAAGTGTAGCAATACTTATCACATATTAAAAGTTGAAATATATGTTTGTTACTTGGTAATATATACCCTTTTACTCCCATGGAGTAATTAAGGACAATTTCTGACTCTGCTTTGTCACAAATGAAAGTACTTATAATCAAGTAAGATTGATGGGACACACTTAGATACAGAGTAATCCAGAGGTAGAACACAGGACACTTGATTGATCAGAATCATGTGCAACTTACTTTGATCAATTCCCGTCACAAGACACAATGAGTTATAACATGTACTTGTCCACGGAAATCGTTTCGAAAACCGAAAGTTTCAGATCTTTGCAAAGTTCTTCAGCGAGTAGGCATATCGCCCACATGTTACGAGACAACTTAATACCTAGAGCTTACCCTTAAGAGTTAAGATTCTTGCCAATATACTAGTGGGAAATCTACATATATGTCACCCTTAAAACTTTGATGGAGCTTCATGTGAAGATGCTTTCTGATGTCAAGTTCTATGCTTAACCTTGAGTGAGTAGCGTATCAAGCAGGCAACTTTAAAGTAGAAGCTATACTAACAAAGATATCGACTTAGATAATAAGCTCAGTAATACAAAACTTTAAAGCACTAAGACAAAGCTGAGATTGGAGAATGCAAAACAAGAGAAAAGGCAAAGTTCTATACTGCAGATTCTTGGGTTACTTTGGGCAAGAAGGTATCCCACCATCCAGGTTCATACTTGGGGTATGGCGCCACCCAATTTTTAGGCTTATCGAACTCTAGAGTGGTAGGATTGGAGGCCAAGGCTTCATCAAGAGAGGTAGCTTCAAAGGAATCATATAGAACACGATCCAATCTTAACTTCATAAACCTGCCATGAAACAACAAAATGCAAAACACAAATGCGTTAGATAAGGATGAACGTAATTTTGTAAAAGAGAGAAATTTGGGATTAGGGTTCTAACGTGATCCAGGAGCCATTGGTGGAAACAAGAGCAACAGCAGGACGACGAAGTCTTTGAGTAATTTTGGGGAAATTGTCAAGGAATTTAGGCTCAATGACAAGCCAGAAGTCTTGCACTAAGTCACGCTCACCATAGTAACGGAGACGTTCAAACAATTGCTCCTGGAAGTGTTCCTCTTCGTCAAGCATGAATTTAGCGTTTGCTACCAGGAAATGGTACTTGGTGCTCTCTCCCTGCAATCATCCACAAAACGTAAGCTGTTGTTTGATTTGGTTTGATTGGCCGAACGGAGAAAAATATAGAGAGAAAGAAAAGAGGAACCTTGTTATCCGACTGTTGTTCGACGGAGCTAGCTGCGGTTTTGAAAGAGGAGGAGAAATGTGATGATGGTAGAGACAGAGACGGCGGAGAGAGATGGAGTTTCTTTGTCTGCTTGGGAAAGGAAGAGGAGACGAGAAAGGGTTTTGGACGGCAAGCGGCGGCGGTAGGCGGCACCGCCACAGTCAATGCTCCGGTGATGCTCCACATTGCTGATTAGAGCTTTTTGATCGAGGCAGAATCTGTAAAAATCTTATCTTTTTTGCCGGGGCTCATCCATTATTATCGTCACTCTCTCTCTCTCTCTCTCTCTTTCTCAACTCAATTTTTAATGTTATTTGGGCTTCAGTAATGGCCCAATAAGGCGTTATGGGCCAATTATAACCCAAAAGAAAGGAAAGGCAAAGGTGTTAACTGTGACTTCCATGGCGATGGAGGCGGAGCTGAGATGCTGAAGCTGCAAGTAACCGGGAAGACGATCTTGTCCAGTATTCGTTGTCAGAGAAAGGCAGGTTCTTATACGATCCACCATTTTTTCTCTACTTTACAAGTTAAAAGGATTGATTTTTGAGTGTTTTGATTGATGCAGATGTCTACTTGTTCTTCGTACGCATTTGGACCTTACAAAATCGATCCGCGTGAAGTGTTCTACGCAACGCCTCTCTCTTATGCCATGGTTAATCTCCGTCCGCTTCTTCCTGGTATGCCTCATTCCTCTCGAATCATTCTTCTTCTTCATTCTTCTGAGTTCTTCTGACCTTCTTTTACACTTACTTTTTGCAGGTCATATCCTTTTTTTCTTCGCTTTCTTCACTATATGGTTTTGTTTTGTAATCTGAGTTCCTTTGGATGACTTGACCACACGAGCACATGTTCTTGTCTGCCCGAGACGCCTTGTGCCACGATTTACTGATCTTACAGCTGATGAGACCAGTGATCTGTGGCTTACTGCTCAGAAGGTTGGCTCTAAGCTTGAGGCCTTCCATAATGCGTCTTCTCTCACATTAGCTATCCAAGTAACTAAACATCTCCGTTTTTTTGTTAAATTCATTCTTTCTTTTGTCTGAATCTGAAAGGATTGGAATTGGAATGATTGCACTAAAACCATCTAACTTTGGTTTTCATGAAATTGGTTTAGGATGGCCCTCAAGCGGGACAGACTGTTCCCCATGTACACATTCACATCTTGCCTCGTAAAGGTGGTGACTTTGAGAAGAATGATGAAATCTATGATGCTGTAAGTTGCTGCATTTTGATCACATTCCTGGCTTTGGTTTTATACAAACTTATGGTGGTATCTTGTTGTAGCTTGATGACAAGGAGAAGGAACTGAAGCAGAAGCTTGATCTAGATAAAGACCGGGTTGATAGGGGCATTCAGGAGATGGCTGACGAGGCTTCCCAATACAGATCTCTTTTCGATTGCTAGTTATCATTTATCAAAATCAAACCAAGCTATCCAGTAGCTTTAATAATAAGACCATTGTGACATGTGTTTGAGGTTTTATGTCTGAGACTTGGATTCAAATATGTAATCTCTTTCTAATGTGACAAATCTATGCATAAACTAAGCGTTATTGTTTTGGTTGGCACTTCTTAGTGATATTTGAATCAACTCTTTCAAGTTTTAAAGGAAAAAAAAAACCACTTGCGACCATCATCTCATGCCTCATTTTACACAATGAACACTAAATACTCGAACTGATCAAAACCATAGATGTATAAAATACTGTCCCATAAGATCAGCGCGCTTTGGCTACTAAATAATAAGTTAAGAAGCTTTTGATGGTTCTTCCCCTGGACCTGGAGCGTCATCCTCATCATGATAGATGTTCTCAGCCATTTGCCATATTTGGAGTATGTTGTCCTCAGCAACACTGGAAATAACCCAATCTTCACAAGGGTTCCACGAGAAATCTGAAATTTTGCTAGTGTGACCACCGTGAATAAACAGCAGCTCAGGTGGGCCGTCTTCTGCATCCTCCAGTGTCTGTTCCTCATCGATCCTATCATAATAAGACACCCTCAAACATATCAATATTGCTCCTCCATGAACATTATATAACTAAAGAACTAAGTCTATGGCCCACACCTGCTAAGGTCCCAAACCATAAGTCTTCTACCAAGGCAACATGAGGCTAAGATAGTCTCGTTCTTTGGGTTCCAACCAACTTGGAAAACCTCCTCTCTGGAGATCAAAGCACATAATTTAGGTTAGTGATGTTGCTTTAACTTGTAAATATTTCTTAGTAACACAGAATCCATCTCAAAGCCGCAATATTTATGACATATCATTCTTACTTGTGGCTATCAAATGTGTGAAGAGCGGTGCTTAGCTTCCGTAGATCGAATAATTTAACAGTCTTGTCAGTTGATCCTGTTGCCACAACCCACTCATTAAATGGATTGAAGGCTAAGCAGTTAACCTGAGGCATTTCAAACAACCCAACAATTAGCAAATACATACGAGGTAATATGATTCAATGGTTTTTAGTGTTTAGGAAAACAAGCTAGTTAACCAAAAGACAAGCTAAAGTACCAAAAGTTTTATCTCTATTTAAAGCCAATATTTTGCAAACGCACCTCCATCGAATGAGCAACCACAGACTGTACTGGTTTACTGGCAGATGGAGAACGAAGATCCCATATAAGAAGGTATTGGTCATCTCCAACGGAACCAAACAGGTACTCATGTCTCAGATGCCATGCAACATCTTCCACAACACCTTCATGAGCCTAACTTCAGAAAATAATCATCAGTAAGGATAACATAGAAACCAAACTGAATATCTGTCTATATGCTTTCGTGGGTGTTACTGATTCCGTTAAGTGGGTGCAATTGCTTGCCTTTCTAAATGATGCAAAGCAATAATCAAGAAAGATAGAAATCCAAGCATTACCTTAAAGATCTGCTGAGCGTCCAGAGACTTGTTTTTAGGAGTAGCGTTAATATCCCACAAGCAGATCTGAGCATCATCAGAGCCGCTGAGCAAATGACCCTGCTTGAACTTACTCCAAGAGAGACCATATCCCTCAGAACTGTGACCTCTAAGCTTTAAATCAGGATTACAAGCCCCATCAAGAGGGGGCTTAGATGGATGCTTACTGTAATCGAAAACATAGACCTCCGCATTTACTGTCTTGGTAGCAATTATGAATGGGTTTTGAGGCATGTACCGAGCTCGATTAACCTCACCATCATGATTTATCTGCTGGATAATTTGCACCTACACAAGCAACCAACCAACATTTATCATCCTTTAACTCGTTTTAACCCTAAATCAAAACCTCAAACTTGGAAATGAGAAACAAAATAAAAATCACACCTTTCCAGTTGCACAGCCAAAGCCACCGAATTCAGAGCGGTCATCATCGTACTGACGAGCTTCACTCTCGGTATCGTCAAGAGGAAGCTGAACTTGTGCTAGCATCAAGTAATTAGGCTCGTTCTCGGAGGTATGGGTACCGAGAATCATCTTCTGAACGGAGTAGTCTTTGCCGGAAGGTTCTTCACGGTCAGGAAGCCATTCAACAGTAAGTGAAGGCCACTCGAGAGCGTGAGTAATAACGAGATCGTAGAGGAAAGGAGTGTTCTTCTTCCAGATCTTGTACTCTTCATTGATTAGTCGCTCCTCAATCTCCCCTCGCATTTCCTCTTCGTCTTTCCCCATCTCGGCGACGTCTTAGATATTCCCGCCACAAGAACAAAGCAAAACCCTAAAACAGATCTCTTTTGTGTACAAATTGTCGGAACTTCTCGCTTCCGTTTCTGAATAATTCACATATAGAAGAAGATGATGAATAAAAAAAGAAGAAGATAGATAAAAGCCCTATTTTAAAAAGGCCCACAATTGAAAAGGCCCATTTAATTGACTTTTCAGCTTACACCAGTCAACAGAAGTGAGGATTGGAGAAAAGAGAGAGAAAAATGGCGATGGAGATCGGAGAAGATGAATGGAAGGTTTGCTGTGGAAGCTCCGAATTCGCGAAGCAGATGGAGATGTCTGGTCCGTTAACTTCAGAAGAAGCAATCTGGACTGCAAGAGACACCTGGTTCAACCTAGTTAATGTGACAGATTGGCTTGAAGCTTTCTCTGCTCATCCTCAGATTGGGAATACTCCTTCACCTTCTATTAACTCCGATTTTGCTCGTCGGAGCGTATCAGAACAGTCAACCGCCTTTGCCACAACTTCTGCTTCTGCTTTACAGGTGATGGATCTCCACATTTCTTTTTCGTTTCTTCAGTAATTTCTTCTTCTGATGATCAATTTGCATCGATTTCTTAGGAGCTTGCCGATTGGAATGTACGCTACAAACAAAAGTTTGGCTTTATCTTCATTATTTGCGCTTCTGGTAGGACTCATGCTGAGATGCTCCAAGAGTTAAAGGTCAACTTCGCATTTCCAATTTAGTTTTGTTGAGTGTGAGTGATGAGACAGTTACTTATTCATCAAATGGTCTCTTTTTCAGGAAAGGTATGAAAATAGGCCGATAGTGGAGCTTGAGAATGCTGCTATGGAACAAATGAAAATAACAGAGCTACGAATTGCTAAGCTCTACGCCGATAAGGCTAGAGTTGTATCCGAAACTGACAGCTCTAGCTCTCCTATTTCAACAAAACCTCAAGGTATATTGGTGATTTATCAAATCCTTCCCTTGTCAAAGTTTTGTGTGTTACTGTGTGGGTTTGAACCTCTTAGGATTCAGTATGATATCAAGTATGTGTCTGTTGGAATACAAGCATGTACCATCATGGCTATGTTTGTTATCTGTGTGACCTTTTCTACTTTCTCGCTTTGTAAGATCGACTGAGAATCATTGGAGGGCATTTGAATGTTGCAGCTAAAGCAAAATCTACCAAGAGAAGTAGGCCACCAATCACGACTCATGTCTTAGACGTCTCACGTGGTGCTCCAGCTGCAGGTGTCGAAGTGCACTTAGAAGTGTGGAGTGGTACTACCGGTCCTTCCTTTGGTCATGGAGGTGGTGGTGTCTGGTCCAGTGTGGGCACTTCAGCTACTGATCAAGATGGGCGCAGTGGGCCACTGATGGATTTGGTTGAGGCTTTGAATCCAGGGACATATAGAATAAGCTTCAACACTGCAAAGTATTGCCCAGGCTGCTTCTTTCCCTATGTTTCGATTGTATTTCAGGTTACCGAATCTCAGAAATGGGAGCATTTCCATGTCCCACTGTTACTTTCACCATTTTCTTTCACCACATACCGTGGGAGCTAGAAGAGCTGTGCTACTGCTGTCTGCTCCCCCCAGTTTCCAACACATTTGGTACAACTACTGGAACATGTATCAAAATAGCTATGAAATAAAGTCTTTATTTGAGTATTTCTTTGGATTTGTAGTTCTGTAAAACAACCAATGAATTAGCAAAACTACGAGCTTTGATCCATACTCATTGTGAGCTCCAATAATTGTATCGATTACCATGTTAAACATCTTGGGAGATTCTAAACGTTTGTACAAAATGGTCAATCACAAAACTAGCCTCTAAAATTGTTGTGTTTTAGACTCATTGCCAGCAGGACAATAATAGTGTAGATTAAGACATCTTGGGAGATACCAAACCTTTGCGCAAAATGGTCAAATCAAAACAACCTCTACTAGTGTACTTCACACACCTCTATCTACTACCTACCCCCTAAGGAGCGTATCTAAAGCTCCCCGGCTATATCTACATTTTTCTCCAAAAGTTCGTAAATTCTTTTGCAAATGACATTATGTTGCTCCATGCACTTGACCTTTCTTTCACCTCACCAGCTTCGGTCTCTTTCACCTCACCAGCTTCCGTCTCTTTCACCTCACCGGCTCCTGTCTCTGAAACTTGTCTGTAAAAACAAAAGATATAAGAATTCAAACTGAAGTGGTGCCAATATGATCAACTTGAATGACTTTTTCTATTACTCAAAAACAAGAGATCCATCAATGAACTAAATTATCCTAATATAAAGATCGGACCAGTTAAGGAGAGACCTTGTTGTATGCACAAGATACCTGGTCTCAGTAGGCACAACATCTGCGGAAACAGCAGCTCCTTCAAGATGGTCTGCTTTTGACTCTTGATTACCTAAGTGCGTCAAGTTGCCCTCCTTCTCAGTCTCTGAGTTTTTTAAACAGACCTCTACTTCTATTCCCTGAGTTGTATCTGTTTCTCCTTTTTCATCTGTTGCAGCAGCTCCTTCAAGATGGTCTGCTTTTGACTCTTGATTACCTAAGTGCGTCAAGTTTCCCTCTTCCTCGGTCTCTGAGTTTTTTAAATATACCTCTACTTCTATTCCCTGAGTTGTCTCTGTTTCTCTTTTGTCAACTGTTGCAGTAATGATAAGGTTGTTGCCCTGGAGATTACTTTCATCATCAGAATTAGAGTGAGAAGTATCTATTATATCCTGTCTCTGCTCACTTCCTGTCTCAGTTGAATCCATGCCTGCCTGTAACACAGAGTCAAGGATAACTGAGTAAGTGATAAGTGAAGCCTAAGGAAATTTCACCAAAGGAAGATATTTTTACTTGAAACTCAGGTTCAACAACCACAGGAGAGAAGTCTGAGGAAGGATAATCTGGTACAGAAGGAGGGACTTCTGAGAGGGGTTTAGCAACGATTGGCACAGGTGCTGGAGAGAAATGTGTGGAAGCATCATCTGGTACAGAAGGAGGGACTTCTGAGAGGGGTTTAGCTACGATTGGCACAGGTGCTGGAGAGAAGTGTGAGGAAGCATCACCTGGTACAGAAGGAGAGACTTCTGAGAGAGCTTTAGCTACAATTGGCACATGTGCTTTTGGTTTGAGTTTCAGCTCTTGAAAGATGTCCCTCACAATGTAATAATTGCCTCCCACTTGCTTGCGAGTAGCATCCAATGAAGGGAATCTACCAGCATTAGTTGCTCTGTATCTGCATAGAAACAGTACCTATGTTCAGGACCTTGAGATTCATACACCTCAGCTACACATATTGCTATCTAGTTGAGATGTGAACCTTTAACAGAATATGAGAAAAGTAATCAGTGGATAGAGAATTACTCGTTGACAAAAGACTCCACCAAAGCTCGCCGATCATCTCTTGACAGTCTTTTAGAAACCTTAGAGGTTGTTAAAGATTCGCAAACAGCAGGAGAGCCATAGAACCTTGCAAGCCGTTTAACATCAACATTTCTGCGTGTAGCAGAAACTGCAAAATGACATCAGGGTCAAAAAAAATATTCAGCAACAAGTTTCAGAAATTGGAAGGAAACATGAGTAAAGAGGGTTTAGCTTTGTTACAGGTAAATTGTTTCAGCTGCTTCAGAATCATCACTGCACTCGAGAGTATGCTACTTGTACGTCACTGCGATCAACTCCACCCAACAATTCCATAACTAGCTAAACACCACAATAAACATCGATTTGGATTCCAAGTAAAACCTTAGAAAAACCCTAGAGAAAAGCGATAAAAATATCAGAAATTTACAGAAACGAACCAGTCGCTACTCTCTGTTGGTCGGAAAATAGAGAATCGGAGTCTGAGAGAGACGCGAAAAACACGGCGCAGACCGGAGAGCGATGAAGAAGGAACAACAAGTAGGGTTCGTTTCCGTTTTGTTCTTCCCTAATTCTTTTAGCAAAATAATTTCGTAAATAGTTATTTTTCCTCTATTTTTTAATTTAATTTCTAAAATGGACTTGTTCTCCAAGACAAATGTATATAATTACCGTATTGTCCGGAATTAATTGTTTAAATTTCAAAAACTGATAGATAATTCAAATCAAGGTTACATCTTCAAACAATGTATTTTCCTCCACAATCTTAGCCATACTTCCATTAACATGTACCCAAATTTCTGCTATTTTCTTGATTTTCCCATCTAAAATCTCTACCAATGTGAAAGCTCTTGTTGTGCCACCACTCTCAGACTCTACTGCTCCTCTTTCCTTTGCCTCTTTAACCCTTGGAACTATTGCACCGTTCACATAAATAGTCTGGTTATCACCATCTTGCACTACCATTTTCCGATTTCCTTTCCCCCGTTGCAGCTCCTTATGCATGTGTCCAAACACAACTAAAGGAACCGACAACTTCGTTGTCTCCTTCAACTGTCGAATCGCCTGCTCTAGATCTGAAACATTAAAATGGGTTTTCACCAAACTAACTACGATCAGCACTTTGGAGTCTAAAACATGGGAAATGCTACTGATGCCAAATTATCTCACCTGGATCACCATGGTCACCGGCTTCATCCACCCAGTCTTTTCCACATATATCCTCTGCTTGAGAACCAAGACCTGCAAAACAGAATAAACCACTACTTAGTCATTATATGTTTAACCTGAGACTGGCCTAAGACTAGACCAATAAGAAAGCGTTAAAGGTTCATTCACCTGTTGGCCCATTGTGAGCAAGAATTATAGCCACGTGATCTTCAGGTGTTCCATGTGCAGCTCGACAAATACTCCCAGCACTGGCATCCATATCATGAACTCCATACCTAGAAAAGATAAATGTGTCAATGACTGGTAGTTTTACTTGACTTGTACGTTCACAGAGATCACCCCACAAACACATGATGTTTTAAGTTTAGAAAGGGCAGCAGATTCACTAAACTGTTAATTCATTTTTCTTCAGTTACCGATACAAAGATCTAGGCAGCTCATCTTTTCTGAACCTAGATTCATTCCTAGGCTCTTTTTTGCAAGAATAGAGCTAACCAAATAAATACTTCATGTAGAACATACATGGAGATGCATTCCTGCAATGTAAGTCAAATGCTAACCTCTGGACAAGCAGATTTTTCCGAAACAATCGATCCCCTCCAATTGAAAAGGGTCGACCACCAACAATACTGAGCTTAAAAGAGGGGAAGTCCATGCGTTGATATCCTACGTGCTCGTCACCAAGGCTGTTAGTTGCAGAGGCAAACATAAGAAAACTTTTTAGAATCTGTGTCCAGTAAACCAAAACCAAAAATTACAGGAATCACAAACAGAAAAAACCAACTCTTTTTTAGCAAACAAATCTTTTTTTTTTGGGTTAAACCAATAAGCCCTCTCCCTAAATCTCCTTCCCCGAGATGGGTCTCACGAACCTATTCGAATCGAGGTCATATATTTTGAGTTAAACCTATTCGAACTACTTGATAGTTATCACGAGAAACCCGAACATCGACTTAACTTTGGGATCAGGCAGGATGCTCATTACATACTAGACTAGGCTGAACTCAAAAACAACCATTGCAGCAGTGTGTTACATTACAAGTAGCATTCCAAAAATACCAGAAGAAACAATGAAGGAGCAAGCAGAATCAATAGGTAGGGTGAAATTGACAACAAGAGGTATTCAAAAGACACAAGCCTCAAAGTAGTAACTCATAGCTATATAGCATGAGAGTCATATAATGAAAAAACTCACATATCAAGTTGCATTTGAACACCGTTCTGTTTTTGTTTCCTGAAAGAAACATAAACGAAATAGAAATCCACGATCAAAAAATCAAAGTACAAGACCAAAATTTCTAAAAGACGGTAATTCAGAGAATGGTTAGTTAGTGGCAACTGGCAAGACACCTTGGAAAGTCATGGGTGAACCAGGCATCATGATTCCCCAGTATAACTGCTTTAGGGAAAGTAAGAGCGGCAACGCTTTGAACAAGTGGTACGTTTTCCTCACCAAAATCACCTGACAGAATTTGAATTTGGATTGAAATTTTCTGAATTTAATAATTAAAACCATTAAAGCTAGTATGAAGACAAGTAGAGAAATTCGGAAAGAAATCAATTTTTGTCGTCAGTAACAGAGAAGCTGCCTGTGAAGAGCACCAGATGCGGCTGCAGAAGAGGATTAATTAGGGTTCATAAGCGACGGTGACGTGTGAATAGGAAAAGAGACCTTGAGAAAGATAGAAGGAAATCAAAAGGACCTGGAGAACTCGAAGAGCCTTTCGATCTTCATCTAGATCCCAGAAGCCATGCTTTAACAGGAGAAGAAAAAGATAAAGAAAAATCAACAATATGAAAGAAGGCGTGAGAGAGACAGAGAGGAGATACTAAAACATTACGATGTCTCCGACGACAGCGATTCGGACAAGAGAAGAAGACGCCATTGGAGAAGAACAACAGACTTGAATTTGCTGTTTCGAAAGAAAAGGAGGAGCATGATATCAATTTTTTTTTTTTTATAACCTGAAACGCCTGAAACGTCGTCGTTTCTACATAATGCTACAAGAAAAAATCATAACTGCTTACAAGCCTACAAGGAATTGGATTTTTTACCCTTAGCTTTTTAGTATACATCCCCACCCAAAAAGAAAAACAGACAACCCCCATTTGCTTATTGTTACCAAAAAGAATGTCTCCTTCTACTTACGATTACTGTATCAATCAGCTATTAACTCTTCTTTTTCCTCCTCCTTGCCATCTTCTACTGTGACAGCTTGAAGACGCTCTGATAACTGCTCCACGGAGGTCTCTTCTTCCCCAGCTTCTTTCCTTGTTCCATCTTCTCCCACCTTTTGCCCCTCTAACTCATCATAGTAGCCGAAATCATCGAGGATTGATGTGTTTGCCTCGTATTCTTTGAAAATTCTAAGCATCTCAATCCCTTGACGTAGCTTCACCTGTTACAATTCATCAATCGGTTCAGTCACTTCACTACAAACTCAAAATTTTCTTTTAGTTAATGCCATGCAACATCCAATTAATGCGTTCAAAATCTCTCTCCCTACCACAAAAGCCTTACTCTTCTCTGTTCCATGTTTTGCTTAATATCCCACTAAAGAAAACCCAACGCAACAAGTGCAAGCTTTAATCTACCAAACCTTACATACCCATCAATCTAATTCCCTGGGAGACTAATGAAGCAGAACTTTCGTGTCCCTCATATTTAGCTTCCAAATTCCTACAACTATTAACGTTAAACCTAATACACATATCCAAAGATTTCCCTATTAAAGCTGGGTATATGATACCTAACACTTGCGAACAGACACATACCACTATGGCACCGATACCTAGACAGCAGTGAATAAATGATCTTAAGACAACACTGGGTAAGGCAACAAAAAGAGTAAGGCCCACCTCCTGAGAATCTCGGCTGTGCGTTACCGGCTTGTTGTCATTGTTTTGTAAAAGAATATGACAAAATCGGTTATTCGGTATATCTTTCACAATATGCCATTTCACTGGGAACTGCCCACTCCACCTGTCTTGCTGCCAGTAACCAGCATCCTTTTCAAAATCTACAGGTCCAACCATTTCCGACACCCCACAGAATTGTCCACTAGCATTTACCTGCAAGATTTTATAGTTTGGTTAAGCTTACTGTTCCCTTAAAGCAACTGAGGGTTGTCTTTCAATTGCTATAGAAAGGAACTTATCAATTACGCCTTTGGTTATTCCCAGGAACTATATATACTACTACATCGACATAAAAAAAAAGCCATACCGAAAGGAACAGAAAGATTGGACAGTGAAAAAGCCATACCGAAAAGAACAGAAAGATTGGACACTTTCCACCCATCTTCTCAGCATCCCGATAAGCAGTATCTAATTTTTTGTTGCCATGCGGTGTGCTAGCCCAGACATTGTACTTGATACTTCTGTGGACATTGTCTTCACTAAATGACTTGACGATAAAGAATTTGGCATTCTTGTAATCTGTCACAAATTCTGGATTGTTGTACAAACTGGGATTTGGTCCAGCTGTACTTGAATCACTCGTTGAATCACCAGTAGTAGAGCAAAGTTTAGAGCTGTTTTTGCTCTTTACCCTGCTGGATGCCCTTGGTCCTCGGTTACCATACAGATCATTGGTCATAGATACAGAGCCCTGCTCCTTCTCTCGCCGTTTACCTAGGTCGGAGGTTAATCTGGCTCGATTATCAGCTCCATAATATGAGGAGATAGAGTTGGGACTCTGGTAAGATCCTACATGATAGTAACCTCCCAAAGAAGAGCTTGAAGCAACCCCACTCCCATGCAACGGTACCTGATAGAAGATGCCAAAAAAATGTGAGAAGCCCATAAAACTGTGAACTGATTTGAATTGAAGGGGTATGCCAAATAGGCCTCCATTCTCCAAAACGGTAAAACCATTAAAGGAAAGAACGAACTAAAGATTGAAAATATCATGGTTCTTCTAGATTGTGTGTCAGTATGTACTATGTATTCATAATGTGTCAGTATGGACTCTCAAAAAAACTAGTGTTACCAATAACTGGTGGCACTTTTATACAGTTTTTGTCCTTATAAGAAATGTTTACCTAACGAACCCAAACAAAGGTTCTGTATATCATCCCATAAAAGTTAAAACATAAGAGGCAGATAGAAAGAGTCTGAACCTGTGAAGCAGTATGGTCATATGGCCCAAGTATACCCATCGTTTGAGGATAAGGTATATGAGATGTTAAAGAGGTGTCCCCTTGATTTCCGGAATAATTGCCTCCACCATATTGCCCAAAAGGAATCATATAAGCAGAAGTCGGGTCAATATCTGAGGGTATATAATGCATAGCAGAAGGTGCACCATAAGGTGGGTAATAAGCTGGAGAGACTGGAATTTGGCCCTCCAACATTATAGAAGGATAAGGGTTGAATCCATAACCAGGATATTGGTACATAAGAGATGAATTGTCATTGTAAACAACCTGAGAATAAAGAATAAGCAAGTTTAGTTACTTAAGTATGTAGCAAGAGGAAGATAGAACATAAATAGGGGAATTCATACTAACCGGTGGGACATGCAGGCCTTCAGGGGAAGTAGCAGCATATCGTGGATAACCATCCCAACTATTGATGCCTTGTGCGTAACCTAGAAAACACACAACAATGCAATGAGCACTCACAGTCTTAGTTTGATTATTCGAAGAGAGAAGAAGCCAAATATTTACCAGAATGCGCAACATCCCAATCGTAATGATAGAGATTGGTAGGGGTTTGAAGAACGTTATAATACGGCGCGGGATCAGGAGAAGGAACAATTGAAGAAGAAGAATAAGAAGAAGAAACAATGTTCCTTTCGTCTTCGTGAGAAACCTGCTGGTGGTGAAAGGAACAACGCATTTTAACCTAGGCTTGTGGTTTACAACAATTCAAAATAGGAGAAGAAGAAGAATTGAATTGAATTAAATTACCTGTTGGACGCCATTATCGGCCATCACTGGTCTTTCCCCTGCGAGAAGTCAACATATCTCGTTAGAAGAAGAAAGTATGGAGAAACGAACATTAACGGCTCTATAATGCTCTAGGGTTTGGGTTCAATTGGGGGATTTTGTTCATAGAAATCGAAGAGATACGAAAAGAGAAATGAGGGGGAAAAGAGTGTACCAGAAGAGACGATTCGGTTGCGCTGATTTGAGGAAGAAGAAGCGGGATCCATGGAGATCTGAAAGAGAGAGAGAGAGAGATCGGAGAGGTTTTTGTGAGATTAGAGAAGAATTTTGAAAGACTATTGCAACTGTTGTGGGCCCGTTAAGAGTTAATACGAAAATATTAGAGAGGGTTCCTTCCTTTTAAAGCGGTTTTGAGTGAGCCTTTTCGTTTTTCAATGTACAGTAGTAGTCCCATTCACTTTTCTTCTTCGGATTTATGCAAGGCTTTTTTATCACAAAGTCACAATTCCCCTTAGGACAAAATTCAAAACTCAAACATTTGTAACCAATGCAGGGGTTGAATTAAATTATCCGAGATTCGATATTTGATCGGTTACGAAATTTTGAATGTTTAGAGGGTCAAGATTCGTCAAAAAAAATCTCGGAGTGGTTGTCTTTTTCTTTTATAACGTCTAATTCATTGATTGCATCGAAATTGGATACAAGAGTTGCGAAATTGGATACAAGAGTTGCTACAATCATCTTATATCAAAAGTATGCAACGCAAGATACATACCAACATACATAGTTAGCCGGTCAAACATTTACGAAAATTTAAATGTTTAGAGTGTCTCGATTCGACTAATAAAATCTCAGACCTGTTGTCTTTTTCTTTTATAACGTCTAATTCATTTATTGCTATGAAATCGAATACAAGAGTCGATACAATCAATGTTCATCAAAAGTATGGTACGCAAATACACATAAACAGTGAAAAAGTGAATTTATAGGATGTTTTTCGATACAATAGCTTTACTAGTTAACGAAATATTAATTATGTTATTTTCTTTATATAAAGTTTATCCAATATGATGAGACTGTCTTTCTTAGCTAGCATCTCTTGGATGAAACTACACATTAGTCTAAATTAATCAATGACATGTGGTATATTATCTTTCACCGATTTGTTGTTTTTCTGATTCCTATATCGCTAATGGGGCATTGATTAATTTGTCACACTGCAAGCTCTTTCCATGCCATAAACTCACCATCACGAACATTCATAACTCATAAGCCGTGGGCCAACTTTGAGTGCAAAATGGGACTACAAAGGATAGGTCCTACGTACACACTACTTATAGATGAAAATGGTCATTTGGTTGGTGAGGACTAAATGACTTTTGACCTAAGTAATATGTTTACCCAATTTTGACATTCGTGCTTCAAATCTATCCTTCTATGCGTGTGTGCGTCTTCTCCATTATTCCATAAAATACATGACCAAAAACATTCATCTATTTCCCACATTAAAAAAAAAAAAACTTGATATGGAACAACTTATTCCTTGAGATATGTTCATAGAAATTGCACATAGAAAGCAGTTCAAATAGGGTAGACCATTCTATAGAGGGAGATTCAAGAGTTGCATTACAGCTTAGAGTATTGTACAACATGAGTTTGTTTTCTTCGCTTGCTTGTAAAACATCTGTTTCATCCAAACACCAAAACAAACCAATTTCTCATGTCAGAAACTATTTCCTCCATCTTCCGATCCATTACCCTTAGAATCCACTAAAGAAACAATAGTAAAGTATACTAGGGTGGAATGTTACCTTAGATGCCAGGCTTAACTTTGTACTCCTCTCCACTAAGCTGTCCAGCTCTTCATCTCGTCCTAGGAGATCATCAATGGTTTCATACTGTAATATAAAACAAAAGTCAGTTCTTGACAACTACGTAACTGTAAAATTTTCTTTCTTATTCTATCTTTGGACAATGAGTTTGAGGGTTCTTTATGAAAAAAATGCCATCATTAATAAAACAACAACACCATGTTTACGCGACTTTGGAAACAACACTAATCATGAACCAGGGACTACACTTACAAGGATAATCTTGGTCTCATCCATTTCCTTCTGGATTTTGAACAGCTTCTCAAAAACAATTTCTACCGGGTCCTGAAGATGCAGAAATTAAAAGATTAAAAAAAAATCCGGTAATTCCACAAAAAAAAAAAAAGAATAATTGAATTGACACAGGTTCTTGAAGTTTTTAACAAGATTGACAGAGACAAAAAGGCTCAAACAGTGGCAGGAATAAAGTGTGTCTAGAACCTGATATTTTTCTAAAGCTTCTTTTAAGTATGGCCACGGCTGACTAGATTTTGCAGACCTCCATGTGTCACCAAAATCCGTCTGGTACGCATCTAATACCTGTCAAAAACAGAATGTCAACAAAAGAAAATATATTTTCCTTCAAACAAGAAGGAACATTAACCAGAATTTGTATTTTCTAGTACCTGATCGAGAAGAGAAAAGGCACTTCGAACGGGATAATGGTCGTCCATGAATCCTACGGCACAGAGGCCATTTATGTTGTAAGCGTGCACTTTATACTCTATATATCAACACGACGATGTCAATAACAAATTTAAAAACACGACACTGATGAAATATCAAAGAGACAAAGAAGAGAAGAAGAACCTTCGTGTTTGACGGTTTGGCACTGACCAGGAGGGGTTCGTTTGGCCACAGTACGGGCAATGAATACGATGAACTCTTCCAATTTAGAGCGATAGAAAGTGCATATTTCGAATTGTAAGAGTTTGGAAACGTTGGCCAGGATAACGGGTTCGGGTGTTTTGGGATCGCACTTGAGAACGAGCAAGGCAGTGATCTTCATAACAACGGTTCTTGATCACTAAAACAGAACCAATGAGTTTTTACTATGAGCTAAAAACGTAGCCGAATCATCGGGAGACAAAAAACAAAGTCACAGTTGGTGAGAGACTGATTTTGTTTTTAACTATACAAACATAAAATATATAAACTGGAAAGAAAACACAGCTCTTGAAACAGGAAGGAGAGAGTAGACGAGAGACAGACTGTTCGAGCAGAGATGTTATAGGAGGAGACAGAGAAGAAGCAAGAGAGAGAGGAGTTACCGGAGCAGAGAGTAGACAAGACAGCGATGTATAGATGCAGAGAGGAGAGGAGATCGCAGGCGATATATTTTCAATTGGAGTTGAATCGTCGTTGAACTGGACCAGAGAAAACAAAAGCCTAAACCTTTAATTATAAGTCAAGTTCGAACCGAGTTTGGTATTTATACACAAGTAAGAGATTCCGAGAGTCCTTAAAGCAAGTAAAGATAGGCTTTTAGGACTTTGAAATGAATAGAGTAAAATATGCATTATGCAATACAATACAACAAAATATATATTGACATGTGTTTAACATCTTTTAATATAAATTGATTATTGTTATATTTCATATCTATAGAATTTACTGCTTATGGTAAATAATTTATATAGCTTCCAAAATTAAATCCTTTTACCACTTTATCATCATGGAAAAGAGAGTTTTTAATTAATTAGAAGTGAATATTTTCCCAAAAAAAAAATAGAAGTGAATACATTATAAATTTAAGGTTAAAATTTATTTTTATTTTTAAAATAAAATTTTTATTTCATGAATTGAATGCAGTCATATAAATAACTTTTCTTATACAATATGAATAGCTTGAAATCAAATAATGAGATATGATTTGGTGATTTCAGAACTAATTGATTTCATTTTTCTTACATAGACTTATCTTATATAGTATTTAACTATTTATGAAATCTTGTGCTATGAAATACTGATCAATTAAGATGTCACTATAATGACATCATCTTTTTTTTTCACTATAATGAAAATAAATTAAATATAATATGATAAAGTGTCTATTATATTTTGGTTAAAAAACAAAAAATTCAAATCAATTCCAAACCATTTACAATGATGAATATAAGATAATGTCATCGTTCTCCAGTAAGGCGCGGTTCCTAAAGTTAACAAATCGTATCATTTTCATATTGCATTTGTCCATGATATCGTTACATCTGACTACAATCTGGAAGATAGTGGTTCCCGTCACAACATATATTAGTTTTGGGTTGAGAGGAAGACAGAACATAAGAAAATGACTTCCCCAAGTCACTTCGTCTACAACTAATGTCTACAAAATATATTCAAAATTTTGGATGAGAAAACATGACATAAACCTTATGAATATGATGAACCTATACTGATACAAAATCTTTAGGATATCCAATTACCCAACATAAGGATGAAAAGACAATAGAAAACTTTCATTGATATATGAATATTGTAAGTGGAGTAGTCATTAATTGGGCAAACTCCGCGGTAGCAACATAATGGCCACACTACTTGAATTCTCCTTCTTCTCATGTATAGTGGAGTAGTCTCATGTGCTTTCACGATTTTCTAGAATTTGTTAACGTCAGTATTTAAGAGACGTGAATATTTTAACATCAGTTTCTAAAACGTCTTAACATCGTCTTCGCTTCGCCTATATAAGAAGCGACGTCATGTTTAGCAAAGAAAAGAAAAACTAAAACTTGACATTCCTTGACATATGATAATAGAAATGCACATAGAGAGCAGTTCAAGTAGGGTAGACCATTCTATATATAGAGGGACATTCAAGAGTTGCATTGCAGCTTAGAGAAGTGTACAACAAGAGTTTGTTTTCTTCGCTTGCTTGTAAAACATCTGTTTCATCCAAACACCAAAAACCAATATTCTTTTGTCAGAAACCATTTCATTTATCTCTCCCGTTACCCTCAGAATCCACTAAAGAAACAATAGTAAAGTAAACTAGGGTGGAATGTTACCTTCGATGCCAGGCTTAACTCTGAGCTCTTCTCCACTAAGCTGTCCAGCTTTTCACCTCGTTCTAGGACACCATCAATGGTTTTATGCTGTAGTATAAAACAAAAGTCAGTTTTTTGACAACTACGTAACTGCAAGATTTTCTTTTAATTTCTTATTCTATCTCTTGACATGAGTTTGAGGGTGCTTTATGAACAAATGCACTCATTAACATAACAACAACACCATGTTTAAGCGACCTTGGAAACAGAACTTAATGGTGGGAACTGATATATTGGAATGTAAAAAGGAAGCAAAGCACACAGGTCAACAATCAAGAACCGGGGACTGCACTTACAAGGATAATCTTGGTCTCATCCAATTCCCTCTGGATTTTCAACAGCTTATCAGCTTCTGCCGGGTCCTGAAGATATGCATATAGAATTAAAAACATCCGGTAATTCAACAAAAAATAAGAATAATTGACACAGCAAATAGTTCCTAAAGTTTTAAACAAGATTCATAGATACAAAAAAGGCTCAAACACTCGCTGGAGTAAAGTCTATGGAGAACCTGAAATTTTTCTAAAGCCTCTTTTAAGTATGGCCACGGCTGACTAGAGTTTGCAGACCTCCATGTGTCACCAAAATCCTTCCGGTACGCATCTAATACCTGTCAAAAACAGAATGTCAACAAAAGAAAATATAGTTTCCTTCAAACAAGAAAGAAATATTAACCAGAATTTGGATTTTCTGGTACCTGGTTGAGAAGAGAAAAGGCACTTCGAACGGGATAATGGTCGTCCATGAATCCTACGGCGCAGAGGCCATTTATGTTGTAAGCGTGCACTTTATACTCTATATATCAACACGGGGATGTCAATAACAAATTTAAAAACAGGACACTGATGACAGATCCTAGAGCCAAAAAAAGAAGAAGAACCTTCGTGTTTGACGGATTGGCACTGACCAGGAGGGGTTCGTTTGGCGACAGTACGGGCAATGAATACGATGAACTCTTCGAAGTTAGAGCGATAGAAATTGAATTTTCCGAATTGTGAGAGGTCGGAAACGTTGGCCAGGATAACTGGTTCGGGAGTTTCGGGATTGCACTTGAGAACGAGCAAGGCAGTGATCTTCATGACAACGGTTCTGAATCATGAAAACAGAACCAATGAAGTTCCAATGAGTTTTTTTACTATGAGCTAAAAACGTAGCCGAATCATCGGGATACAAAAACAAAGTCTCAGTTGGTGAGAGACTGATTTTGTTACTAACTATACAAACATAAGATATATAAACTAGAAAGAAAACACAGCTCTTGAAACAAGAAGGAGAGAGTAGACGAGAGACAGAGTGTTCGAGCAGAGATGTTATAGGAGGAGACAGAGAAGAAGCAAGATAGAGAGGAGTTACCGGAGCAGAGAGTTTAGACAAGACAGAGGAGGCGAGAGCGACAATACGATGTATAGATGCAGAGAGGAGAGGAGATCGCCGGCGATTGATTTTAAATTGGAATACTCAGAGTTGAATCGTTGTTGAAGGCCAGAGAAAACAAAAGCCTAAACCTTTAGACTTTAGTTAAGGGAAGTTTGGTATTTATTTATACACGAGTAAGAGATTCCGAGAGTCTTTAAAGCAAGTAAAGATAGGCTTTTAGGGTTAGGCCACAAAGAAATATATTTTTTATAAATTATTTATTATTATATAGAAATCTATATATAATAGCAATCTAATAAATACCATTTGCACATCTGAACGGTTGCGTCTTTTTATCGCAACTTTTCGTTAATGTTTTTATTAATTAAAATATATATTTTACGGTTACGTTTTTTTTTTTTAAAATTGCATTCTGAATGTTTTCTACGGTTACGTTTTTTATTGTTACTCTTCATAAACAGTTGAAACCGCTTATTCGAATCATTGCAATATTTAGTTTATTTTACGAACAATTGCAACCTTTGGTTTATATATTTAGTTTATTTCACGAACAATTGCAATTTTTGGTTTATTTTATAAATAGCTATAACATTTAATTATCTACCGCCGCGTCTCTCGGTATAACTTTTCATAAATTATTATTTTAATTCTTAATTTTAAATTACTAAAATGTATTTAAATGAAATTGTAACTATTTAATTGAACTGTATCAACATTTGGATTATTTGACGAATTATTGCAACTTTTGGTTTTGTGTTACGAACCATTGTTATCTTTAGTATATTTGATGAACTATTGCAACATTTGGTATAATTGACGAACCGTTGCAGTTTTTGGAATATTTGATATCTACGGTTGCGGTTCTCGGACAAGTTCGTCATATTTTTAAAAAATATTTAAATACTAAAATATATTTAAATGAATTGTTGTTACCGTTTAATTTAACACAATAGATTTGGTTTATTTGACGTTGAACGTTTTGGCTTATTTATTAAACCATTGTAATATTTGGTTTATTAGTTTATGCTTTTTGCACTTGAAAATAGTTTTTTAGTTACAATTATTGTTTTCTAATATTAATATACTTAATAAATGCTTGTGAGAGTTTTCTTTATCATAATTTTTGTAAAATATATATTGATTTGTTATTAAAAAAATTCAAAATTGTTACAATTCTTTATGATTTTTTCGTTTGATATTTTTTTTAATGATTTTTGAAATATATTCCCCCGCGACATCGCGGGGGTCCTGAGTCCTAGTTATTTTTAATATTTGTTCGTGTAAAATAATTTATATACGTATGTGAAAAAGATGAGGGAGTAGTTAAGTAGTTTAGTATATCTTTTTTGATACGTCAAGGTCTAATGAAGGGAGTTACAAAGTTAAAAAAAAAAAGAGGGAGGATTAATGCAATGAACGACAGAAACGCGGTAAGAGAGAAAGGAGAGATAAAAATAGGTGTGGATGGGTTGTTTGATCCATAATTGGGATGATCAAGTTTCTTTCCTACCATTAATTAACTAACTTCTTTTTCTTCATTCCAATTTTGAAACCCCTTCTTTCTTTGGCCCCAAGCTTCCGTTTTTCTTCATCTTTTCTTTCAAAATCTCAAACCCTTACGGGAAAAGAAGCATAAGGAGAGGCAGAAGAGGAAGGGGCATATGTTCTTGCTTTCTCCTTGTGAGAGATCTAGCTCCTTACTTGTCTCTCTCGCCTCTTTCGTTTTTTTTAAATCTAAACTTTGGTGTCTCATAATAGGTTTTCCTTTGTGTTACAAACAGGATCAATTAAACAGAGATGCTGAGGTTTATCATATTTTTCTCCCTTTTTATACACTTATGTGTTGCGGCACCCAAGACTCCTGCTGCTGCCGCGGCTGTTCCTACCAAGAAATGGCTCACCCTTAACGGTAAGTATTCATTTACATTACATCTTTTTGTTTCTTGGTGGTATAGTATACAGAGTATGCCCATATTGCCTAACATGTTGTTTGTTTGTTTCTAAGAATCCATACTTGTCTTTTGTCTTCCAGGGCAAGAGCCTGCAGTTGTGGCCAGAGGCGGCTTCTCGGGTCTTTTCCCTGAGTCAAGCGCCCCTGCAAACGACATGGCTGTTAGCACCAGCTCGCCTGGCCTCACAATGTTGTGCAACCTTCAGATGACTAAGGACGGTGTGGGCCTTTGCTTGTCTGATATCAGACTTGACAATGCAACCACCATCTCCTCGCTCTTCCCCAAAGCCCAGAAGACCTACAAGGTCAACGGTCAAGACCTCAAGGGCTGGTTTGTCCTTGATTACGATGCCGACACCATCTTCTCCAATGTCTCTTGTATGTCTACTTCTTTTTTCCTCCCTTCAATGCTCTCCACCATCACACATTTTCATGTTTTGTATTCTTGAGCAGTGGTCCAGAACATCTTCTCACGGCCCAGCATCTTCGACGGCCAAATGCCCGTTTCCGCAGTGGAGGACGTCCTCGGAACCAAGCCTCCCAAGTTCTGGTTGAGCGTTCAGGTATCTCTTCATCTCTTTGAGCACATGATTAACCAACATAGGGAGGATTCTTGTTGATTCATAAAAAAAATCAAACAATGCAAATGTGCAGTACGATGCCTTCTACATGGAACACAAGCTGAGCGCAGCCGAATACCTGAGAAGCTTGCGATTCCGCGGCATTAATGTCATCTCATCTCCAGAGATCGGTTTCTTGAAGAGCATTGGGATGGACGCAGGAAGGGCCAAGACAAAGCTCATATTCGAGTTCAAAGAGCCCGAGGCGATTGAGCCCACCACAAACAAGAAGTACAGCGAACTTCAGCAGAACCTGGCAGCAATCAAGGCCTTTGCTTCAGGCGTTCTTGTCCCCAAAGACTACATCTGGCCCCTTGACTCAGCTAAGTACCTTAAGCCCGCCACCACTTTTGTGGCTGATGCCCACAAAGCTGGTCTAGAGGTGTATGCTTCTGGATTTGCCAACGACATGCTCACCAGCTTCAACTACAGCTATGATCCCTCTGCTGAGTATCTCCAGTTTGTGGACAATGGCCAGTTCTCTGTTGATGGAGTTATCACCGATTTCCCGCCAACAGCATCACAATCCATCAGTAAGATGACTTGCTATCTACTCTCATCATATATATCCTCAGATATCTGAAGCTAACGGCCCACACTTTTGTGTTCTTGCAGCGTGCCTTTCTCACCAAAAGGGCAATCTCCCCAAATCAGGGCATGCTTTGGTTATCACTCACAATGGAGCAAGTGGGGACTATCCAGGCTGCACTGATCTGGCTTACCAGAAAGCAGTCGACGATGGAGCAGACGTGATCGACTGCTCTGTTCAGATGTCCAAAGACGGAATCGCTTTCTGCCATGATGCTGCAGACCTCACAGCAAGTACCACCGCCATGACTACTTTTATGTCTCGAGCCACCAGCGTTCCTGAGATCCAGCCTACCAACGGCATTTTCTCTTTTGATCTCACCTGGGCCGAGATCCAGTCTGTGAAGCGTAAGAAACTGACTCTTATCTTTAGATTTCTAAACTATCTCATTCTCAACTAAGTCACTGAGATTGGGATTTCTTGTCTTCAGCACAAATCGAGAGCCCCTTCACTGCCACGGGCTTCCAGAGAAACCCAGCAAACAAGAACGCCGGGAAGTTCATAACTCTCGCAGAATTTCTTGACTTCAGCAAAGCAAAGGCAGTCGCTGGAGTTCTGATCAACATCCAGGCAAGCCTTTTTTAACTCCCAAAATGGTCCTAAATTTACTCAAGGCAGCTCCACTAACGCATTGTTTGTTGACAGAATGCTGCTTATTTAGCCTCAAAGAAAGGTTTAGGAGTCGTAGACGCAGTTAAGTCGGCTCTGGCCAAATCCACACTCGACAAGCAATCAACTCAGAAAGTTTTGATTCAGTCAGATGACAGTTCAGTCCTGGCCAGTTTTGAGGCTGTACCTCCGTACACCAGAGTCTTGAGCATTGACAAGGAGATCGGAGATGCTCCTAAGCCATCCGTCGAAGAAATCAAGAAGCACGCAGATGCTGTCAATCTCATGAGAACTTCCCTCGTCACCGTCTCCCAAAGCTTTGCCACAGGAAAAACTAACGTGGTAGAGGAAATGCACAAAGCGAATATCTCTGTTTACGTCTCGGTCCTAAGAAACGAGTACATCTCCATAGCGTTCGACTACTTCTCTGATCCTACGGTAGAGCTTGCAACATTCATTGCAGGGAGTGGCGTCGATGGAGTAATCACAGAGTTCCCTGCTACCGCCACCAGATACTTAAGTAAGTTAAAACTCCTACAAGAATATATATACACATTACCAAGATAAGGCTGAACAATTATATTTGATGCAAATGCAGGGAGTCCATGCTCAGATTTAAACAAAGACCAGCCCTATGCCATCTTACCTGCGGAAGCTGGTGCTCTACTCTCCGTTGCAGACAAGGAAGCACAACCACCGGTTAGTGCCCCAAACCCACCTCTTGATGCCAAAGACGTGATTGACCCGCCTCTGCCTCCAGTTGCAAACTTGGCAGCCTCCAATGCAACTGGAGGAGCTCAGCCACATCCCCCTCCTCCTTCAGGCGCCGTTGCCATCACTGCTAATCTCGGCCTTTCCTTGCTGGCAATGTTGGCCTTGGGAGTCCTTTGTGTTGCCTAAAATAAAGATTGATGCAACAGTTTGTAATAAGAAATCCTCTGGTTGATATGCTATATGTTTTTATCATACGTTAAGACAATATACATACACACATATATATACACACACACATGCACACTACGATCAAAGAAGCCTTCTTTGTTGTGTAGGGGTATTGATTAGCTCAGAAATTGGAATCTTGATAATCTACCAATTCTTATTTTCTATCTATTTCTAGTTTCGTGACTAACCTTCTCCACAACGTTTTCCTGCATCTAATGCTCTCTCAAGATAGTGAAGCTGCAAAAAGAAAGAAAAGATATCAATACTCAAATCACCCTAGCCGTAATTGGATAACAATAGAAAAATACACTCGTTCACTTGGGAATTTAAAAAGCATGAAATCACAATTTCCCTGCGGTAGGAGAAAAAAAAGAAGATTTATATGCAAAAATAGCCTCTTGCCTCTTTCACAGTTTTAAACAAGTGAATGAGGTAAATAACGTGACATTTGCTTATTGAGATTGACCAAACATGTGGTATAATGATGTATTTATGTTTATTCCTTTCTAATTACAATATTTTATACCCCTCCCTATTTTACAAGTTAGCTTTGCCGTTAAAGAAGATAAAATATTGTAGTCCTTAACATCCCACTCCTGTTGTTCCATGCTCTAAAGCCAGTTTTAAGCACGGCCTCACCTTCACCGAGTGCTTTTCTTCTCAAAGCCCGTTCGGTCTTGGACCATTTCCATCTAGGAAGAAACCAGTATAGCCAGTTATTCAAGGAGCAGTTCTTTCCTTTAGTAGCTCACTCATTTCTTTACCTAATCCACTTGTTTTTGTTTTCTCCTTAACTTCTTCATCCAAGGGCTTCTTGATTTCTTTATCTAATCCACCTGTTTTTGGTTTCTCCTTTTCAGCAGCATTCTTCTTAGCTTCTGCCTCGAGTTGTTTTCCGTTTTCTTCATGCGCACGATTGAACAGTCTTACAAAGTTTAGAAGAGTCGACACCACTGCAATTTACAACCGCTTGCTAGATTGAGAGAACTTTTGGAACACATGGTTTCACACTAAGCTACAGAGAAAGATACACATACCTTGTTCAAAAGGGCACTTGGCAGGGTCTTCACCAAAGTAGAGAATTAAGCCATCCACGTTTCTTCCCTGAAATACATAATTTATTTATTCTGAGCAAGTTCTCAACCAACGATAGTGCAGATCATGCAATAATATCTACTGTACATTAGACTTTGGGGACATACCACTCCCGAGTAGAGTGAAGCCAACGACCTTACTTCTGCTTCCGCATAATGAAGGAACTCCTTCAATATCTGAGGGGAAACAACAGTTGATAAACATGGTCAAACAAGAATCAAATGAATCAATTATCAACTCTTTAACTGTCTATGCAGTCGCACTGTCAACCCAATTTGTTAGTTAGCAACCATGTAGATGCCTTAATAATTGTTATATAGCACATTTCACTGAAAAATCACTAGCAACATAATTCAGGGATCACATCCCCTACAATCTATAAGCATTGTATTTTGTTCCACTTTACAAATCCTTACATAGGTAACTAGTGATCAATGACAGTGATACCTTGTTAAAGTTATGTGAAATCGGGCCATCATTTTCGGACAAGGAAAGTTCCTGTACGACTTTCTCCAGTCCCTTGTTTATAGCTTGCATCTCCTCGGCCAGAAACTTCAGTTGAATCTGTATCAAAGTTCAGGCAATTAACGCAGTTCCAATTTTTTATTATCCATTTCTGCAGAAATTCCATGTGAATTGTGATGAGTACCTTTGTTGCCGGCTCTAATGAGGATAATTCTTTTGTAAAATCTAAAACTTCTGGGATTTTTTCAGCAAGAATCTGTAAAGAATCCATCAGACTACATCTTTCTTCCTCTAGTACATCCATAAAGCTACAGAAGAGCAGACTATAATAGCTTACCTTGCATAGATAATGCATCAGAGTCATTCGGTTATTACGTGCCCGTGTTTCACTGAGTTTCGGCAAACTGTCCAATTTAAACCCAACCGCAGCACCTAGAAAAACACTACTTTTAGAGCAGTATGAAAGATAAAATTACGAGTTAATACATTCCAATTTCAAACTCACCCCTAGCCGTCCCTTGGTTTAGGGCGTTCCCAAGGGATAAAATTGTCTGCATTATTCTTTTGAATTTTTCAGAATTTTTTACCTGATTAAAAGAGGAACAAAAGAGCATTAGTAAGGTATGATTAATCATGGCGGGAGAACACCTAGATCCAGTTGAGTCTGACTTGCCTGTTCTGCTGCGGAGTTCACAACACCTAGACTATTCCTTAGTTCAGAAATCTATAAATGTGGTTCACAGCAATCATAAGTACCACAATGAAGCACCAAAGAATCGTAATTAGTAAGGTATTAGGCTATTAGCTTCTCGGACCTGAGAGGTAAACTGCATTTTGAATGAGAATACCCTGAGCTTTGTTTCTACTCGTGGGACTTTCATCATCTCTAAGAAGAACTGTTCAAACAATTTCAAGAAGCATATATGGTGTTAGACTCTGCTACCCAATGGAACTAAAAGATTTTCTAAGTTTTGTACCAGTTCGCATTTTCCAAGCTTGTCCTTGTCACCAGTGTAACCCTACAAACCGAGTATGCAATGAAGAAAAATCAAAAGAACATACAAAAGCTAGATCACAGGACACCCAAAAATTTTCTAGGGACTTCCGACTCTGGAAACAAAGCAGTATAACATTAATCTAGGAGTACACTTCTTATACCTTTAGTAATTCCATTTCTTCTCTTGTTGGGCAAAACTTAATTAGGTTCTCAACCTGATCAGCATCAAGAGCCGACTCCTCCAGGTTAAGCACTGAGTTCTGCAATATTTAGAGACAATTAGCTTTTAATTATCATGGGCAGACATAGCGACACATGGACATGGTACCAGGTTAAACTGCTATGAGTACAGTACAACCTAAACCTGTCTAGCTTTATATTACCGTCAAATCCTGCAAAGGTACTTTCACTTTTGAAAGCATAATTTCACAATTGTATGCTCGCCGGTGTTCAATCTGCAAGATTAGTTTCTCATCATATTCAGTATTTTCAACCATAGAGAAAGCAATCCTATTGTGACAAATAAAGAAATAAGACACTACTAACTATTAAACATAATTTACCAGTTGGACTTTCTCGGGTTTAGGTCCACGAGAGCTATCTAGTCTCGATTTTCCTGCCTGCTCTGGAGCAGATGCGGAGAACAGACTTTCAAGCTCTGTCATATCAATGTCAGGAGCCCTACACAAAGAGGTAAAGTATCAATGAATTGGAAATCATGCAAGAATCCTATTGTGACAAGAAGATGAACAATGCATACTTAGAAGCTTCACTAGACATTTGTGTTTCAGCCCATAAGCTCCCATTGACAGCTCTTGTCAGTTTCAACCAGTGGTATGGCTTCAACTTTTTGGTTGGACTATTCTTTAAATTAACGCGTAACATTCGCCCCTTCCCCGATGAAAGAGAGCCAGTTGGTAAAGCAGGCGTTGGAGGAACATTAGGACCGGAAGACGGGGATAACTTGGTGCCTAGCTTTGGAGGAGGAGGGGGTGGTGCTGATGGTGCCCTATTCTGACCTAATGGTGGTGGAGGTGGCGCGGTTGGAGGAGGAGGAGAGGCAGAATGAGTGGGAAGCCGGGGAGGTGCAGGGGGTGCAGGTGGTGCAGGAGGTGAACTTTTCATAGCAGAGATTCCATTAGATTGTGGTGTTGGAGGAGCGGGCGGAGGAGGAGGAGGAGGAGGAGGGGGAGAAGAGGCAAGAATAATCGGTGCTGGTGGTGGTGGTGGAGGGGGAACTTTAGTGACTGTGGAATGCTGCATTGGAGGGGGAGGAGGAGGAGGAGGCGGTCGAGGCAAAGCAGGATTTTTGTCTGAATTAGATACTGGAGGAGGTGACCTAGCCGGTTGTCCAAGATTTGAAGCCACATTATCAGAAGCTCCTAAATGAGGTGAAGTAGCAGGACCAAAAGAATCTACTGAAACATTTTTTGATGGGTTGGCGGGAGTAGCTGATGATGCTTGAGGTGACAGTAACAATGAATTTGTTGTTTTAGAAGATGGCTCAGGACAGGCATGTGACGTAGAAGCAAGGGGAGGTGTTGGAGGCAGTGTAATGGGATTTTTTTCGTTCGGAACTGTTTGATGAAATGTAGAGCCTGCTAACGACATCCAGGAATTTCCTTGTGACAGAGGCTCTGTTGGTTGAACAATAGAATGCTGCAATTGCTCTGAAGGCTTAGAAGCAGCAGCTGGAAGTGGAGGAGGTGGGGGAGGTGCCCCCGCTAGAGCCAACTGCGGTCTTGCAGGATGAGGTGGTGACGGTGTGGGTGGCGAAAACGAGATTGCTTTCCCATTTTTTGCTGAAGGACTCTTCAGAAAATTCTCCTCAACATGTTCTGAAGATTTAGAACCGTCCACAAGAGGTTTAACTGTTGCAGAATGATGCACAAGCTTGAGAGAAGGGGACTCTTGATGTAACAACTTTGTTGCATCCTGGCTGGCGGTTTTTTCCTGATTACTTATCTGAAGGACAGAATGTAGATCTTCTGCTATAAACTTCTTGACTGAATCAGTAGGAGGCTTTTCTGGTGTGTCGATTGTTTCACCCTCGGACATTGAAGACAATTTGAACTTTGCACTATTTTCAATTGCTGCATGTTTCATAATATCATGGATACTTCTAGGGCTTAACCCTTGTAGTCTTGGGCTTGAATTCCCATCTGGTCCTTCCTGAACAGCATTTGCAATGGCTAACTGCTGAAGCATATTGCGTGTGGCATCTGTCTGATCAACCCAGTCAACTTGATTGAAGAACTCATGAACTTTGGAAAAAACTTCTATGGGAAGACCATCTTTCTCTTCCAAGCACGAAAAATTCATCAAGTCAACAGAAGAGGCAGCATCCATATCTGAGAAGAGAAGCTTCACACAGAAAGTACTCTTTGTGAGTACTAAGTTACAAAGGAGTAGCTATATGTACCATGTATAGAGAATATGAGTACCATGAGTACATACCTCAACTCTAAACCCCTTTGGGAATTCTTTTACATGCCATAATGTGTCGACTTCATCACGGTTAAGCATCAAAATGTTTGATCTAATAAAAGCGGTGTTGAAAACCACTCGAAACATCATGACCTCTCTTTCCATGTCATCGTTCAAACTGAGGCACTCGATCACGATGTCACCTTGCACATGACAATTAATGTCAATCTTGACTAGTTCACATTCTGCCTGCAAAACACAAGGGTTGAGAAAACAACATCGAAAAGCCACTAAATAATATTGCAAACAAGGAAAAAGAAAGCTAAAATTACAAGAAACAAAAAAAAGCAACAGAAGGCTAATCAGGGATCAAAAATATTTCCTTCTCTAAGACCTTTAGATGCAATGTCGCACAGGCTGAGTCAGAGGTCATCAATTATGAAGAACGCTATGAATATTCATGGTGAAAAATACCTGCTTGTAGAGCCTCAGGTGTTTCCCTTTCTTGGGAGTAGAGTACAAAAGCTTGGGCTTTTTATCATCTACAAAGAAGGGATCCTGACCATATATTCGGAACATTGGGCGAAAACCTCCTTGTCCACTAACATCAGGAATAAATCTCAAAATAACACAATCCATGGTGAGAGCCCTATCCAGTGGAGGCCATTCAGAGACCAAATTCCTTCTAGAAACGTACTGTAGATAGCGAAGCTGAGAGGGAATTGGGTTCAACGGTGAGAACAAACGCAGAAGCTCACGCGGAGCTTGCTTGTAGATCATGTCCAAAGTCTTTGACTCACCACTATACTGCTTCCTGTATATAAGGAGGGCAGCTAGCATAAAAGCTAAAACTGGCCAAGCCCCGCTTTCACAATGCATTAGTAACAAGTTATTTGGGCCGAGTGAGAGCCAGCTTTCACTTGACCGGAGAAAATGGTGCATCACTTCCACAGGTAACAATGAGCAGCCTTCGTAGTGCCGAGGATAATCCATTATGGTCAAACCATGTTCTGACAAGACATCAGCCATCACACTCCGAGTACCCACTTCACGAAAATTAAACACAAGAGAGGATGCTTCAGGGAAGTGCTCCTGTAGTTGATTGACTACTCCCGCCATATAAACTTTGTAGTTTTCTTCTTCCCATGAATCGGTAGAGAAGCAGCAATCGAACACTACACACAAAGGAACCTTGTCTTCAGTTCAATGTGGTTATTGCCAATCATGATCAAAATGAAACTTGATATCTTAAATATCCAGCAATTTCTAAAACACCCTAATTTCACACGAATTAGCGTTAAAAATCCCAAATTTTCAGACAATCAATCCCAGAGACAGAGAAGTACAATGAGCTAAGCAAAAAACAGACAAATGAACAAGAATATTGGAAGAGAAACAGACCGAAAACTCTGTCGCATATCTCGAGCAAACCATCTGGAGGCTTGCGATAGAACAATTTGCGAAACAATGCCATTTTATCAAAATCCTAAACACCCCTTTGGCGTTTCAAAGTCGACAACTTTGAGTTTCCGTTTGATTCCAGAATTTGTAGCGAAAGTTGCTCCCTTTTTTTGTTTGAATCTGTTAGGTGATGTTGATGTAAAATGGTGATTGATCTTCCAAGAACGAAAAGGTCAGCTGGCGCGTTGTATGACGTGGATCCCACGATCAGCCGCCATCTCTCCACCCGACCTGACACGTGTCTTCTCATCTACGGACGAACCGGCATTAATCTCTCGGCCCATTTAACCTCTTAATTGGCTTTTCATTTAGGCCCATAAATGGTACATCTGCTCTGTTTTGCTAGATCTTGCATTGTTTCTTCCTTGTCTCTAATTGCATGTTTCAGTCTTTGAATCCTCAGATAACTCCAGACTATTGGAGCTCTGTTTTAGCTTAACATTGCTTAAAATAGAGAGTGGCTATTTTTATCCAGAAAACGAGCTCTGAATCTGATGAGTTAGTTTTAACTACATTGATGGCTCTTGTTTTTTATTTGCGGACATTAAGGCGCCAGTTTAGGGACTAATCAGAGGAATGAATGATTCTCAATTTCCAAGGTGTGTGTGAGTGTGACAGAGTCAAAAAAGTGTGAAAACCCCTAAAAAAAAAAAGTGAATTTTTACATTAATAAGCAAAATCCTGCTGAAATGAGAAACCACAACAACCACCCACTCCTCCACTCACCAAATCCATTGACAACTTTGGGATTTGAAAAATTCACAAAAGGTCTGAGACAGATTCCATTTTCATATTTCCTTATAACTCACTAGCAAATACTTTACCTAATTATAATCTCCACATATCCCTTTTTTTGACTTTCAATGACTCTCTTCTCTTCCCACTTTCTCCAGTGTCCATATACGATACAACCAAAAACTCAACTCTCAACTCCGGAACTCCCCCAAACTTTTCAACCCTTATCTTCTTCTTCTTCTGAATTTCTTAACTTCTCCTAAAAGCTCTGTTTTTTTTTTTTGAAGCTGTGCACGTGAAAGGGATCTCAATGTATTCTAAACTATCATCACCTCTCTGCCCCGTGATTCCATTATGTCTTTTCTTCTTTTCACACAGTCTGTCTTCTTTCTGAGCTTTCCCATCCACTTTTCTCCAGCTCCAGACAACACCAAATTATGAACTTGTCTCTATGGGGATCTCTCTTGTTCTTCTCTTTCTTCGTCAAGCATCTGACGAGCCTAGATCCCAACACCGACGCTTATTATCTCTCTAGCTTCTTCACCGCAATGAGATTACCCAATTCTCCCCAAGCTCAAACATTTTCTTCTTCATGTTCATGGCCAGGAGTGGTCGTCTGTGACTCTAGAGAGAATGTGCTCCATATTTCGGCTTCTGGGTTGGACCTGTCTGGTTCGATCCCCGACAACACCATTGGCAAAATGAGTAAGCTCCAAACTTTAGATCTCAGTGGAAACAAGATTACGTCTCTGCCCTCGGATTTGTGGAGTCTCAGCTTGCTTGAGAGTCTCAATCTCTCCTCCAACCGGATTTCTGAGCGTCTTCCCAGCAACATCGGCAATTTCATGTCGCTTCATACCCTTGATCTTTCTTTCAACAGCTTCTCTGGTGAAATCCCTGCCGCTATAAGCTCCCTTACCCGTCTAAAAACTCTCAAGCTCCACAACAATGGTTTTCAGTCTGGAGTACCTCCAGGACTTCTCCATTGCCAATCTCTAGTCTCCATCGACCTCTCATCCAACCGGCTCAGCGGGCCTCTGCCTGTCGGTTTTGGTTCGGCTTTCCCGCAACTAAAAAGCTTGAACCTTTCAAGGAATCTGTTTCAGGGTTCATTGATAGGAGTCTTGCATGAAAACGTGGAAACAGTTGATCTCAGTGAAAACCGATTTGATGAGCATATCTTGCAGTTAATACCCGGCCACAAACACAACTGGTCTAGTCTGATTCATCTTGACTTGTCTGATAATAGCTTTGTCGGTCATATATTCAATGGTTTGAGTTCAGCTCATAAGCTGGGACACCTTAACCTCGCGTCCAATCGATTCAGAGCACAGAAATTCCCGCAAATCGGCAAGCTTTCAGCGCTACATTATCTGAACCTATCAAGGACCAATCTCACTAATATCATTCCGAGTGAAATCTCGCGGCTGAGTCAGCTGAAGGTTCTTGATCTCTCCTCCAATAATCTCACTGGCCATGTGCCTTTGTTCAGCCTCAAGAACATTGAAGTACTTGATCTCTCGCTGAATAAGCTAGACGGAGACATCCCAAGGCCGCTTCTGGAGAAACTCCCCATGATACAAAGGTTTAACTTCTCTTACAACAATCTAACCTTTTGCATCCCCAACTTCTCACAAGAAACAATACAGAGATCATTCATTAACTCTACAAACAACTGCCCCTTCGCTGCAAAGCCAATTGTTACAAAAGGAAAGAAACTCAACAAGAAGAAGACAGGGCTTAAGATTGGTTTGGGGTTAGCAATCTCCATGGCGTTCTTACTTATAGGACTACTGCTCATACTTGTAGCCTTGAGAGTTAGAAGAAAATCAAGAACTTGGGCAACAAAGCTAGCCGTAAACAACACAGAACCCAACTCCCCAGACCAAAATGACTCAACCACTGATGTCAAGCACGCAACACAGATCCCTGTGGTAATGATCGACAAGCCATTGATGAAGATGACGCTTGCAGACCTAAAGGCTGCGACTTTCAACTTCGACAGAGGCGCATTGTTGTCGGAAGGCAAGTCTGGTCCTACTTATGGAGCAGTCCTACCCAATGGATTCAGAGCAGCTATAAAAGTTGTCCCAAGTGGAAGCACATTGACTGATACAGAAGTCTCGATTGCTTTTGAACGTCTCGCCAGGATCAATCACCCAAATCTTGTCCCACTCTGTGGATACTGTATAGCCACAGAGCAAAGAATTGCGATCTACGAGGACCTAGACATGGTTAATCTGCAAAGCTTACTCCATAACAACGCAGACGATTCTGCACCGTGGAGACTTCGGCATAAGATAGCTTTGGGGACAGCGAGGGCATTAGCTTTCCTTCACCATGGCTGCATTCCTCCAATGGTCCACGGAGAAGTGAAGGCTGCAACAATCTGGTTAGACTCTAGCCAGGAGCCACGCTTAGCAGACTTTGGATTAGTCAAACTCTTGGACGATGAATTTCCCAGTTCCGAAAGTTTAGACGGGTACACATCGCCGGAACAGGAGAGAAATGCTTCTCCGACATTAGAATCCGATGTGTATAGCTTCGGAGTTGTTTTGCTTGAGCTCGTGAGTGGGAAGAAGCCGGAGGGGGACTTGGTGAATTGGGTTAGAGGGTTGGTGAGGCAGGGACAAGGATTGAGAGCCATTGATCCGACGATGCGAGAGTCAGTTCCAGAGGATGCAATCGCGGAGGCGGTGAAGATAGGGTACTTGTGTACCGCCGATCTGCCATGGAAGCGACCTACGATGCAGCAGGTGGTTGGACTTCTCAAAGACATTTCTCCCAACTACTAATGGGCCAGTTAGTGGGCCTTATATTGGGCTTATGACACTTAACCATCATTATTAACAAGGCTCCCAAAAAAAAACTCTCAAGTTTGTTGTATGTTTATCGTTGTTGATTAGAAGAAATGGAAAAACATGAAAAGAGCCGTTTATATGTAAACAACTACTAGTACAACAACACTTTGGCTTTTATTGAGAAGAAGAGTTTTGCATAATATGAGAATCAAAAGCAGAGCGGAAGAGTGGGATTAGAAGAGGTCAATGTCCAAGTCCGTAGAATTCACAAGCACTCCATCATCTTCCCACTTTATATCTTTGGCATTCGGATCTTTCTCGATAATGTTCAATGGTGCATCCAGTGGTGGAGGACTCTGTATGGAATCACTCTTTTATGTTAGCAGACAACAAACACGTGAGAGCGATTGATATAAATGCTTTTATTAGTCCTACCATGCCTCGTATGAGAGGCCAATTGATCCCGCGGAAGAAAGCGTGCTGCTTTATCTCATTTGCCCCACCCTTGGATCCTAATCGACTGCTCGGATCTCTATTTAACAACGTGTTGATCAACTGTCTACCTACAAGACTTACCTGCACAAATACATGGTTATATTAGTATTTTTTTTTACTTTGGGCGCATTGAAAGACACATAGTTTGTTACAAGATTAGCTCACAGGGATACTGCTAGGGAAGGTGAGATCTTTGTGCAAGATGTTGGCAAATGTCTTTTGCCTATTCTTACCCCTGAAAGGTGTGCGACCATAAAGCATCTCATACAACAAGATACCTAAAACAAACATACACAAAAGGAGATGAGCATATTTATAACAGGTTGTGATCAAAATAAGGTAAGATGGTGGCAGATTATACCCAGTGCCCACCAATCAATAGCACTTGTATGACCAGCACCCGTGATTATTTCCTGAAATAATTAAGTAAACCATGAATAATCTGAAACTCACTGAGATGCAGCTGAAATTGAAGATTGCAAGAGATAAAACATTAAGTGCATCACTATACAGGCGCAATGTATTCTTCAGTTCCTACGAACGAGTTTGACTGGGTACTTGGTTCTGCAACAAATGTGGGTAGTGGTTGACTCTTAGACCTCCTTCGTTTGCTAGGTGCAGCTGGAATAATAAGCTGCAAACCATAATTCTCTTAAATATCAGATTTCTTTATATGCCAATAGAAAATAGTAGGATTGAATAAAAAGTACCTGGGGTGTGCAGGTCGTCATGAATGATAAATCAAAGTCAGCTAATACAATGTGTCCATCCTTCTTAAGCAGTATATTTTCAGGCTTCAGGTCTCGATATACAATTCCTATTTATGGAACATATATACAAATCTCAAAACGAAACAACAGCTAAAATTGTTGAAGGAGGAAGATACTACTCAAGGCATGTGGCAATGTATATATAAGCAATGTTTATATCAACAGAGACAATGATTATTACCTAAGCAGTGAAGATATTCTAAGCCGATAACGACCTCTGCTGCATAAAACCTGATGACAGAGATTGATTAGATTAACTCATAACTGCAGATCTAATAATGACAATGGGATTCATTGCCTTTATCAGTTATCCGAGTAACCGCTAACTGAATGATTGATAGAAGATGATATGTTTTCTAACATAGTGCCAATATTTAGTCAAAACATCACCATGAGATATTCCGTTACACCATTATACTTGTACACTGAGGAAAACAGGGTACCTTGCAGAGTCCTCTGTCAATATTTTCATAGGTTGTCTGTCAAGCAGTGCAAACAACTCTCCACCTGGGCAGAAGTCTGTAATCAAACAAACGTGTGTAGATGTCTGCGGAAAGAAAAAAACACTTCAGCCATGAGGCAGAAGAACTGACATGATGCAAACAAAATTAAAACATCTACCTGAAAAGAAGCGTAGAGAGTGGGAAGGAAAGGATGATCCAGAAGGGAAATGATTTCCCTTTCGATGCATGCTCGGTGAGCCTGCATAAAGCTGCATGTTGTCAAGGAGAGAAATAATATAAATGTTGAATTATTCAGCTTTCCCTCTCTAAAGGAAACTCATTCTCCATCATATACCTTGTTACGATTCAACATCATTGCTTTCTCCATTGCTTTCATGGCATATAATTCACCTGTACCCTTCAGCTCAACCAAATGAACACTATTTTTCCAACCAAAAAACAAAAAATCAATCATATATGTAAAAGGAGATTATAGGCAGTTGAAATTCAAGTTTACTGTTATGGACACAATGCAATGTCGTACCTGCCAGTATCACCAGAGCCCAGCGGTTTTATTGGTTTGAAATGATGTAGTCCCACTGTTTCTCCACCCGCTTGGATCTACAAAGGAGACTATCGAAATAAGAACAGGATGACTGAGAATCCAAGTAAGAAAGTAATGTGGTTTGATGCATGCCTTTTTTATTGCTTTCCAGGACGTACTCTCCTTATTGTGAGGTAGAGGATAGACAGGCTTCGAGTGTGCAGCCCACAGGTCCTCGGGCCGCTATAATACATTGCAAATCGATCGCATTTATACTTTTACATCTTTGTTAAGTAATTATGAATTAATATACCTTACCGTATTAGCATCTGGAAGTTCTCTGACAGCTTCATCTACATTTGTTGCTGTAGCTTTCACCTAAAATTATAACAAATGTGATAGTCTCCTTTGTTAGAAAACAGAAAAAAAAAAGTGCAGTAGGAGATGAACCACATACCAATTTAGAACTTTGTGTCTCTGTTCTCTCAGACAAACGATTTTGGAGGGGCTCTACATGATCACTTCCATCAAGCTGCACACCGATGAAGTATTGAAGCTCTCCCTAATGATGAAAAAAGTCATGTTGTCAGAAACAAGGCATGGTTTTATCCAAAGGATCTGAATATATAACAATAATCTCATGGCGACCTTTTGATCACGCATAGGTTGCAAGTGGAATAAATTCCAGAATTTCTTTCCTGCAATGGTTTCAAGTTTTGATGACACATCCGAATAGAAAGTTTTAAAAATGATCGTTTGAAATTGTTCAGTATCAGAAAACTACCGCTTTTAGTGTAGTTTATCAACTGCACAGTTATCTCCGTCTGATCTCTAATTGCGTCTCTTATCTTCTGGACAGTCGCTTGATCTGTCTCTGGCCCCTGAAGAAACCTGAAGCCAACCACTTTGCACATATCCATATCATGAAACAACAAAAACACAGCCGGAGAAGACTGCACAATCAACAGGTATGATGAATCTCTTAAGTAACAGATACAAAAAGAAGAATATTCACATACCGACAATTTCTCCCCAAAATTTCCTCGCGTGTATACTCTGTCAGTTCAAGAAAGCTGTCTGATGCAAAAATCTGCAAATTAAACGATTTCCATTATCAATTCAAGACTATATGCTTACAAACATAGTAGCACACTTGAGTAAGAAAAATCAATATATGCAACATACTCTACAATTGACACATAAAGTTTCGAAAAAAGAACATGCATCTCAATTTTAGACAGAAAAAAACATACAATGGGATTATCAGGGAGACGAGGATCACTGATGACGAAATTTTTCTCAATGCGCTCAAGAGTGGTAGCTAGATCAATCCCTTGGCGTATATCCCTTTCTCTATCTGATAGGTCCCAACTGTCCCTCTGCCCTATTACTTCTGTGCTCAACATCAATTCTTCAGGTTCCATACGTAAGAGCTCTTCATGCTTGTTATTCGAGCTTTTGAGCTTCGTCCTGCACATTACACGAAGCAGGATTACAAATCATTGAGTGTATTTATACATGTATATGCACAGCTTCAGAATTCACTACCCAATCCATGTCAGAGGATACATTCTAAGGCCCAGCACAAGGTTACCAAAGTATAGAAGAAATAAGAAACAGAACAATAGCAGGATATTGCAGCAATTGCATCTTCCGACTGGAATGGACATTATCTATGAGTTAAATATTGAGCTTACACTACACAAACTCAATCTCAATTACAACTAGATTGAGATTGTGTAGTATATATTTAAACACTATTTAGCAATGATAATAACAAGTTGTTTCGGCAAACTTTGGCACTTCCATCACACTTTTGTGAGCAATAGATATGCCTTTAAGTATTTTATGTTGAGGGAGACTACTGTGATCTGGTGCTTAAAGGGACTCACCCCGTTTGAGTAGAAACACGTCCAGGTGTCCTGAATGACTTTGAAGCCTCATCTGATTGTCTATTTTGTTTACCAGGTGTAGTAGAACTATCAGGCGTCACCATATTACTATTGCTCACGGATTCCTGAACTTGAGACTTGCGATGTCTTATTGTCTGCACAACCTCTGTGATGGAATCCAAAGCTTTCTCCTTCTGGCGAGCTGATATCATCATCAAAACCATTACATGTTAGAGATTGTGGAACAGCACTCCAAAAATCATTGTGTTCTTTTTTTTTTTTTGGCTAAATTATATCACTGTTTTTGGCTAAAAAATGAATTTATGGAGAGATGCAGAAAAACAGATACCATCATATCGAATTAAGGATTTGGAGAGCCCATTAGGCCTCAATGCTTTATCATTTACCCCTTCTGTGTATTTGCTAACTTCAACCTGCATCCTGCAGATAGAAATGTGAAAATGATTGATCGAGGAGACAGTCGATTAATTAGGGAAAAACAGGGAGGAATTAAGGGAGGTACCCAATGAACTTAATGGTGTTTCCTTGGTCGTCCTTGATAGGAGTGACTGTGAGAAGATTCCAGAAGGGAGTTCCGTCCTTTTTGTAGTTTAACAGCCTTCCACAGTAACTCTTTCCATTCTTGACACAATCTCTGATTTTGGCAACCTCATTCTTGTCGGTGTCTGGCCCTTGCAGAAACCGGCTGGCGTTTTACCCACAAAGATTAAGAGCATTTCAGAGTAAGTTGGCATGGGTTTCAAAAGCAATATTATTCTAACTAACAATTGGGAATGAAACTAGAAAAAAGATACGAGATGAGCCGTACCAGTTTCTTCCAACAATTTCCTTGGAAGAATAACCAGTCATGGTGAAGAATCCACTGCTGGCATACACTATAGGACAGTGTGGTTGTGTGGCGTCAGAAACAACAAAGGTCTGCTGCAACGTGGATAGAGCGGTTTTGAGCTCCTGGGATAC